AAATTCAAAATATGCAAATATGCAGGTGTCATGATGAAACCCAAAATTAATAATAATTAATCATTTAAAATTAATAATTTTTAAATTCTTCTAGCTGGGTGACATTTCCCACTTTTTTTGGGGGGGGGGGGTATTCTTGGGCCCAGCCCAGCCACTGTCCTTGAGTTTTTGTGCTCAAGACAGTGTTCTACTATTTGAGCCACAGCTCCACTTCCAGCTTTTTTTTTTTTTTGCCAGTCCTGGGGCTTGAACTCAAGGCCTGGGCACTGTCCCTGAGCTTCTTTTGCTCAAGGCCACAAAACTATTTTTGGGGGGGGGGAAACAAAGGAGGAGGCTACAATGCTTGATAAGAAATGTACTCATTATCTTACCCATGTAATTGTAACCCCTCTGTACAGTATTTTCACAATAAAAAAAAAAAAACATTTCCAGCTTTTTCTGTGTATGTAGTACTGAGGAATCGAACTCAGGGCTTCATACATGCTAGGTAAGCACTCTACCACTAAACCACTTTCTCAGCCCCCCATTTTTTTTTCTTTCAGCTTTTTATGGTTAATTGAAGAGTCTCACGGACTTATTGCCTAGGCTGGCATCAAACTGCAAACCTCAGATCTCAGCCTCTTGAGTAGTTAAGATTACAGGCTTGAGCCACCAGCACCCGGCCCCAATTTAAAAAAAAAATAATTGAACCACAATATATGTTGAATAGATATTATATGTGAGTACATACTTTGGCATATTTGCATGATCTGAAATGGTGTTTGCCTTTGTTTTCAAGGATATGAAAAAAATCTACAAAGGAAAATCTCCAGTACTTAAGTTAAAATCTGCTTTACCTTTGTCTTTCTAAAGATCTTCAATATGAAAGTATATACAACCTCAGCAAGAGGCAAAAAATGTAAATCAAAGCAAGATCATGTTCACCAATCAGACTGTCCAAATGAAAGTTATTGGTAACATCTAAGAAAATCGATTTCCTCCTACACCATGGGTGAGAATTGGAAGACCATTTGGCAGAATTAATCAAAACCCAAAATGGACCATACCTTTCTCCTGATTCATCAAGTCCACCTTTGTCCAGGGTTGTAACTGTTTCTCCAGCATCCATTCTCAGCTTCCACTGTGTTGTGGAAGCCATGTCTCCATGGAAATATCAACCTCAACCAATCTGCACAATCCCATTTCCTTCCCCTCCCATTAATTCAGACAAAGAGTCCAGAGCCCCAAGCCATCCATCCATCAAGCCAGGCAGTTTTGCCCACAATGACAGCTTCATAGCAATGAGCTGTAGCCAAAGTAGGAGCAATGAGAGAGCAATTTTCAAACTTGGGGAAACACCTCAACCCCTCCCTTTGGAAGCAAATAAGGAAGCATGGAACTCCAAGAACCTAAGCTCCTGATGTTTTATATTATCTAAACAAAGGTTTTCTTTTTAAAGTCAAACTCAGCTCTAAGTAAGCATGACCATATTTACATAAACACTCACGGGTTTTTTTTTTCATTTATTGAATGATATTAAACTCTAAATCCTCTAAGCCTATTGCCTGATACATAAAATATGAACAATCTTCCTGCCTTCAGAGTTATTATTTCTATGGTCATATATAAATCAGGGTACTAGACTATAATGTGTAGCAAAAGCAGATTGGGTGTGGCTCCTAATCTTTAGAGAGTGACCTTTCAATAAGGTTGGTGAACATTGGTTATTGTTCTTGCCTATTCTTTGGACAGGATATCACACCTTAGTCCAAGGACAAGAAAGTGAACTATTTTGAGATGTGTTATCTGCATTTCCCTTATTCTTGTTAGAGTTCTTCATTAACTGGCAACACACTTCCCAAGGGCGCAGCCAAGGAAAGAGGGTAACTGAGTGAGAGGGGTTTGGGAAGACTGTAGCCATTGTATATACCACAAAATTAAGAAAAGTATGGGAAGCAGCAGTTGAGGGGGTAAGAACGTTGGAGTTGGGTGACACTGATCAAGAAGCACTGTACTGACAAACTGCCTTGTTCAATGGCACCTCCTTTGTACAAGTACTTAAAGATAATAAAAAATTAAAAACACTTGCCACCATTTTACAATGTATAAAGCAAAGAATAAAAAGAATTTAAGCAAGGCTATCCAATGGGGAAAATTTTCACCAAAAAATGAAAACAAAGAAAAGTGATGTTTTACCATTTTCTCCATGTATAACATAGTCAACACGAGACGCCCACAAACACTTCTAAACACAAAGCTCTAAATTATGAGTTACTTACAAACGATGACATCAAGATTTGTGGTGAGTTGTTTCTCAGAAGGGCACATTAAGAAACAGGCTGTGGGTTAATTACGTTTTCAAGTTATTTCATGTTTGAAACTATCAAGAGAAAAATAAGATTCTTTAGAAAGCAAAATATGAGAGCATGACTTTATACAAATAGAAGAGTGTTAAGGAATCCTTTCTAATGCAGACATGCTTAACACTAATAATTTAAAAGAAAAAACAGGGCTGGGATGGAGCTCAGTGGCAAAGTACTTGCCTAGCAAGTGCAACATCCTAGGTTTGATTCCCCAGTACCAAAAAAGAAAAGACAAAAATAATAATACATTTTTTTAGAAAACCCAAACAAACAAGAAAAAAAGAACAATCCATTCAGTCCAATCCACTAAGATTAGCTAAAACCTGTTCTATGTTCTCTAGCTCCTTGTTAGTGGTTATAATACCAAAAGACTTGAAAAACAAGCTACCCACCTTTTTATTCTAGTCTATTTAGCACAGGTCAGTCAGCCTTACATTGTAGCTCAATTAAGATAAAATGAACAAAACTGAGTCATGTAAGAAAATAAATCTTCTGTAAACCCATTTCAGTGGGAAGCCAGACAATCCAGGAGAATTCAGTTCTAAGCCTGGGGCTGATCCAGCTTTGCCAAATCGTCTTCCCAAGACATGTTATTTTTGTTGTTGTTGTTGGTCTCTTGAACTCTGGGCTTGGGTGCTGTCCCTGTGCTCTTCAGCTCAAGGCAAGGACTCTCACTTGAGCCATAGTACCACTTCTGGTACTTATTAGAGATAAGAGTCGCACGAACTTTCCTGCCCAGGCTGGCTTTGAACAGTGATCCTCAGATCTCAGCCTCCTGAGTAGCTAGGATTACAGGCGTGAGCCACCGGCACCTGGCTAAGACAAGTTATTTTATTGCATGCTGCTTAGATGATCAGTTGTACAAGAAAATTAACTTGTCACCTGTATCAGTTACTTTTTCTAGTTGCTGTGACAGCAACAAGGTAATAGAAGAAGGATTTTCTTTGTCTCATGGTTTAAATTTTCAATCCATAGTCTCTGATTCTGGGTCCATGGTGAAACTGAACTTACAATGGGAGGAAGATGTAGAGGAAGAGGAGGCTGCTCACCTCATGGATGCAGAGAACAAGGAAGGGACTGGGGATCAGGTATGATGTAATCTCTAAGGCTCATCCCTGGAGCCTCCCAAAAGTAGCGTTTCAAAAAAGAGAGTAAACACATTCGTTCAAATTTATTTATTAAATGCCATACAGTGCTGTATATTTTATTTGCACTCTTAATAAATCTAAATTAAATCGATCTATGGAGTTTAATAAGATAATATTAATTTTAAAACATACACATACACACAGCAAGTCCACTGTCCCTCACTGGTATACATATATATATATGATATATATATATGGTGTGTATATATATCATATATATTTCATATTAGTATGTGACTAAATCATATCCTTGTAAAGAGATATTAAATATATCATAAAATTTTAAAAGAGATTACAATCCCAATTTTCAAATCTTTTTTTTTTTTGTCGGTCGTGGGGCCTGCACTCTGGGCCTGGGCACCGTCCCTCAGCTCTTCAGCTCAAGGCTAGCGCTCTACCATTTGAGCCACAGTGCACTTCCAGCTTTTTCTGCTTATATGGTGCTGAGGAATTGAACCCAGGGCTTCATGCATGCAAGGCAAGCACTCTACCACTGAGCCACCTTTCCAGCCTTTCAAAATCATTTTTAGTAGTTCTCCCAAGATTCTAACCAGATATCCTCCTCAAGTCTCAACATGGACATAAGTGATTTTTAGTTCCTTAATTCTGAGGTTCACAAGGACTCTTAATAGATAAAAGACACCATATGCAAATATATAAACTCTAAGGGTACTAGAACCTCAGTTAAGCAAATATTTTCACATTGACTTTCATGTAAAAGATTTAAAGATGTTGGCTTCAAGTATGTCTGATCCTCCTACCTAAAAAGATCTGGGTCTGTGCACTAGAAAGCACCTGTGGGCTATGCATAAATGATTTTGCACCTTGGTGAATAGCTTTGGGGAAGACCTAAGTGTCTGAGGTAACAAGGAAATAGCAAACATCTCTGGCTTCTGTCCATTCTCATCCTCAAACTACCAGTGGCCAAGAGTGGAGTCTACAACAGAGCCCTTCCCAACCAAAGCCCCTTCAGCCGGTTGAATCAATAGCACTGGGCCCAGAGAAGAGTAACCACCCTGATTATTAGTAACCCTGCTTCCCTATTTTGTATGCATACCTGTTTTTTCAATGAAAAGCACCTGTGCTTCTCCATCTGAAGGTATACCTTTAAATTTCTCCTACTCCACTCATTCCAATTATGTTCCTCTACATAGGAACTTTAGCACCAGAATCTTACAAGCTTACAATGACTTATAAATCATTAGACATACAAGCTTTCTCTACCAGATTTGCCTTACTGTGCTTCTTAGAAGATTAGCAGAGAGATCAGATTCCTATAACAAATATACTGAGTATCAACAATCATGACAGAAACCAAACATATATGTCTATGCATGGACAGTAGTTGTGTATATAGCTTTTATAGTTAATATAAAAGAAAATTTTTCTTCTATGGATCCTAGGGTTTTTTGTTTTTATTTTTATTCATTCTCTTCAACCATAAACATTTATACAGATCACACAAAATTCAATGCATAAATAACATGACCTTTTATAATGTTTTTCTCCCCTTCTTTTACTCACTTTTTTATCTTAGGTAACTTTAAAGATACAATCTACTAACCGCAAATATACCTTCGTGTACAAGAAGCATGTCACTATTCTCTCATTGGCTATATCTTGAAATAGCACTGGTACATTAGAAACGCGATGGGGTCACAGCTGGGGATGGAGCGGGAGGGACTTGTTCAATCCCCCTTGGATACATTCAGAAGTTTCTGTCTTCTTCTTATACTAAGCCTTTCATAGAAAAACAAGCAGTTCAGAAGGAAATTATCAAAACACGGGTGCTTCTCCTAGGATATCAGCACTCCCGTTGCAAGAGGACCTCATTTCCAGTGTAAGAGCAGCATCTAGAAGCATGGGAAAGTATTTTCAAACATTTATATGCACTCTGTATATACATTCTGTAAAAACTGATCTCTATTAATTTCCTTTCTCACCTTGTACACACTGATAACATTGGTGAGTGCTAGGCACTGTAAGAAAACCTCACGTTATATATATTAAAAGGAAAAAAAGATTTTAGGCTAGTTGTGGTGGTACACACCTCTAACCTCAGCTATTCAGAAGGTGAAGATTAGGATGGTGGTTTGAGGCCAGACAAAAAGTAAGACGCTGAGGACTCAATGGGAGAGCGTCTATCTGTCTTGCAAGCATGAGGCTCTGAGTTCAAACTCCGACAGCACGAAAATGACAATCTTTAAGGTAATTATCAGCCCAAATTATCTCGTGCAGCACACTGTATCTTTTTATGCAGATAATGATTTTTAAAAACAGATTAGGGCTGGAATGAGGATTAGTGGTAGAGTGCTTGCCTCATATGCATGAAGCCTTGGGTTCGATTCCTCAGTACCACATACACAGAAGAAGCCAGAAGTGGCGCTGTGGCTCCAGTGGTAAAGCGCTAGCCTTGAGCAAAAAAAAAAACAAAAAACAAAAAAACATTGACGTTGTAAACAGCCTGCAGTCTGTGCAGTTTCTGTGAATTACCTATTCACAGTTCACGTGAGCTAAATGAAATGAATGCATGCAAAGACCTCTCCCAAGGTCTGGGAAGAGCCTGCACAATAAGGAATTCAAATCAAATCTTGTTCACTTGACAGTAAATCTGCCTTTAATGTTACAGATATTGAAAATGCTTCGTGGAGATCAACAGATTAATATCAGCCAGGTGCCAGAGATTCACACTGTAATCCTAGCTACGCCAGAGGCTGAGATCTGAGGATCACAGTTTAAAGCCAGCCTAGGCAGGAAGTCTGTGAGATTCTTATCTCCAATAAAATACATTTGAGCTATGTCAAGTGATAGAGTACTAGCTCTGAGCAATAAAAGGCTCAAGGACAGTGCCCAGGTCCTGACTTCAAGCCCCAGGACCGGCACTTAAGAAAAAAAAAAAGCAATTATTTGTTATCTTGGGAAATTACCAAATAATCATTGAATCTATCTTGCTTTACAAACCCACAGGTCAAATGACTGGAAAGCAAGATGAATATTCATCCTTCTTGAGCAATTGCCACCCTAAATTCATATTACAATATACAATAAAATGCAGATTCCTTAAAGAACAAGACATAACCACAAGACTCATCACAGACAAATGCTACTCCAGCTTTCTAAGTGGCATAACTTCTCTGTCAGGAGTTCTCTGGCAATCACCAGAGTATTTCAACTGAAAACTTTCTCCAGTAAGCCACAAAACATTTCTTTTTTTTTTTTTTGGGGGGGGGGTCGGTCATGGGGCTTGAACTGTGGGCCTGAGCACTGTTCCAGCGCTCTTCAGCTCAAGGCAAGCGCTCTACCACTTGAGCCACAGTGCCTTCGGGTTTTCTGAGTGGTTTATTGGAGATAAGAGTCTCACGGACTTTCCTGTCCGGGCTGGCTTTGAATCGCGATCCTCAGATCTCAGCCTCCTGAGTAGCTAGGATTACAGGCATGAGCCACCAGCGCCCGGCTCCACAAAATATTTCTTATAGATGATTACACAGCTTCAAGGGGAGAATTCAGACCTACCCTGATTAGAATTAAAAGGATTGTCAGTGCTGGTGCTCCATCCGAGGCAAATCGGCCTCTGAATCATCTGATGAGAAAGATCCTGATGCCTATAAATCAATAATCAAGCATTACAGATTCAGTAACTGCAAAACAGCCGTTCTCCCAAAATTCTGATGCTGATTGTTCAGATACAAGATGCTTTATTAAATTAACTAGTCATAAACCAAGTTGGTTTCATGGAAAAAGATAAGAGGATATTTTTCTTTGGCCTCTTTACTTATTTACTTACTTACTTATTTATTTATTTATTTTGTCAGTTGTAGGGCTTGAACTCTGGGCTTGGGCACTGTCCCTGAGCTCTTCAGCTCAAGGAAAGCACTCTACTGCTTGACATATAGCACCACTTCCGGTTTTCTAGTAGTTTATTGGAGATAAGAGTCTCACAGCCTTTCCTGCTGGGGCTGGCTTTGAACCGAGATACTCAGATCTCAGCCTCCTGAGTAGCTAGGATTATGAGCATGAGCCACCGGTGCCCAGCTTGCCTCTTTATTACATACATGTTAAAAGATACTTGTAAGCCACATGTTAAATGTGGAGCTGTGGCTCCAGTGAAGAGCACTACTCTTGAGGGAAAAAAAAAAAGCCCAGGGATAGCACCCAGGCTCTGAGTTCAAGATCCAAGTCCATCACACAAAAACAAACAAACAAAATTCCAAGACAAGCATGGTAGCTCATGTTATAACCAATCACCCAGAAGACTGAGAAAGGACAATCTGAATTCAAAGACAGCCTTGCAACATACCAAGACTCTGTTTCAAAAAATATAAACAAAAAGTGGAGGTATGACTCAAGTGGTAGAGTGCCAGTCTTGAGCAAAAAAAAAAAAAGCCAAGCAGAAGCTCAAGGCCCAGAGTTCAAGCCCCAGTACCAGCAAAATTAATTAATTAATTAATAAGTAAAAATAAAATCAGAACCAAAATATACATCTGGTCTTCTATGCCCCAGTACAACCCATCTGTCCTCTCACTACAAAACAAAAACCTGTTGGAACCATCATGTTAAGATTTCAAAGCAGACATTATCACACTATGCTACATAAAGTAAAGAAATACATGGACAGGAATTCTTAGCCTAGAAGAAGCAGCTATAGAAGAACTAAATGAATACTTCAGGACTAAAAAAATGTTAAACTTGAAGTTTAAAAAATAAATTAGAACGGATAAAGTAGGTGATAAAATGTCAGAGAACAAGAAGATAGATCAAAAGAACTTGTATAACCTGTCACCGTGAACCCTGCTTATACGGCTATTATATGTTAACAGAGAATGTTAAGAAATAAAAGAGGGTTGGAAAGGTGGCTCAGTGGTAGAGTGCTTACCTTGCATGCATGAGGTCCTGGGTTCAATTCCTCAGCATCACTTAAGCAGAAAAAGCCAGAAGTGGTGCTGTGGCTCAAGTGATAGAGTGCTAGCCTTGAGCTGAAGAGCTGAGGGACAGCACCCAGACCAAATTCAGGCCCTACAACTGATAGAGAGAGAGAGAGAGAGAGAGAGAGAGAGAGAGAGAAGGGGACAGAGAGAGACAGAGAGAGAGAGAGGGGGAGGGAGGGAAAGAGGGAGGGAGGGAGGGAGGAAAAGAAGGCAAGCAGGAAAGAAGGAAAGAAGGAAGGAGTCTTACAATTTGAGGAATACATAGAAAAAGAGAATAGAGGGCTGGGAATATGGTTTAGTGGTAGAGTGCTTGCCTAGCATGCCTGAAGACCTGGGTTCAGTTCCTCAGTATCACATACACAGAAAAAGCCTGAAGTGGTATTGTGGTTCAAGTGGTAGAAAACTAGCCCTAAGCAAAAGAAGCTCAGGGACAGTGCCCAGGCCCTGAGTTCAAGCTCCAAGATTGGCCAAATTAAAAAAAAAAAAAAAAAGGTAGAAAAGAGCAAACAGTCACATGAATTTAGGAGAAAAATATCAAAATGTCTAATATACACATATACATATATGTTCAGATGGAGGGCCTAGAATCCCCCCAACCCTGCTTTCAATTCCCAGTACCATGGTAGAAAAAAATCTCAGAAAGGAAAAAGATTATGCATTTAAGATTCCTTTCCCTCTAGGTGCCGGTGGCTCACACCTGTAATCCTAGCTACTCAGGAGGCTGAGGTCTGAGGATCACCCTTCAAAGCCAGCCCAAGCAAGAAAATCCCTGAGACTCTTATCTCCAATTAACCACCAGAAAACTGGAAGTGGCGCTATGACTCAAGTGGTAGAGCGCTAGCCTTGAGCTGAAGAGCTGAGGGACAGCACCCAGGCCCAGAGTTCAAGCCCCATGACCGACCAAAAAAAAAAGGACTCCTGTCCCCTGGTTAATGATCCTACTGCCAAGAAGGGACTTCCCATGTGGAATTGATATAATCAATCAACTGACCTTTATCAATCAACTGACCTTAAGGTATAAAGATTATCTTCTTGGTAGGCTTACGTGTAACCATGTAAGCTCCAAATAGAAACCTAGTGAGTCAGAGAGATGAGGCAGAAAGGACAGAAATCCACAATGTAAACAGGATTTGCCTGCTGTAGTTGGATGTGAAGAGGGAGAAAGTGAGCCATCAGTCAAGGAATGTGGGTAGACTTCATCTGTCAGCAGCAAGCTTTCAGCCAGGAAGGAAATAGGATCTCAGCCATACAACCATATGGAACTCAATTCTGTCAACAAGGTGAATGAGCTTGGAAACACACTCTCCCTGAAATCCCCCAGAAAGAAATGCAGCCTTCAGAGCACTTGATTTTGATCTATTCAACTTATGAAGAGAAGCTACTGCACCTAGCTTTCTGACCCCAAAACAGTCAAATACTAAATGTCAGTTTAAATATGGAGTGATGGCCAGGCACTGGTGACGCACAACTATAATCCTAACCATAGGAGGCTGAGAACTGAGGGTGGAAGTTCAAAGCCAGCCCAGGCAGAAAAATCCCTCATGACGGGGCTGGGAAGGTGGCTCAGTGGTAGAGCGCTTGCCTTGCATGCCTGAGGCCATGGGTTCGATTCCTCAGCACCACATAAGCAAAAAGAAAAAAGCCGGAAGTGGCGCTGTGGCTCAAGTGGTAGAGCCCTAGCCTTGAGCTGAAGAGCTGAGGGACAGCGCCCAGGCCCAGAGTTCAGGCCCCACGACTGGACCCAAAAAAAAAAAAAAAAAAAGAAAAATCCCTCATGAGACTAGCCACTCAAAAAACCAGAAGTGGAGCTGTGGCTCAAAGTGGTGAAGCACTAGCCTTGAGCAAAAAGAGCTCAAGAACAGCACCCAGGCCCTGAGTTCAAGCCCCAAAACTGACCAAAAAGTAAAAAATAAAAAATGAATACATATATATATATATATATATATATGAAGTGATGTGTTAGAAGTGATAGACAATATATATATTGTAGGTAAATGGCAAAAATTGACTGAAGGATACAAATGAAAGACTCTATACTTGTATGCTATGAAACAAGAACATTTTACGTAAAATAAGATAGACTCAAAGTAAATAAAGGTAGATGGTAGTTGTGTACCTGATGCACTGCAGTACTGGGAGAATGCAGGTCAATGGCAGCCAGTGGAGGAATCCGAGTTTCCAATAGAGTTTTGTTCTCTTTCTTTATTAACCTAGAATTTCGAGCTACATAAAGGTAATCATAAAATGAATTCATAAATGAAAAAGCAGGCATTTTGTTTGTTTCATATTTAACTGTGTCCCAACTACTGTACTTTTTATGCATCAGTGTGTCTACAGAAATATGAAAAAATTACTCTGAATGTTGATTTTTTTAATACCCTGTTAGTTTAACATACAACACTGAATAGTACAAAAATATGGGCTGATAAAAGTGAAAAGCATCCTATACATACCAATGCCTTCTAAGGCTTTTAGCTGAGGGAGATGGTTGTAGTTTAGTTCAGGCAAATGGACATCTGCTCTGGCATATTCTTTTCTTTTCTTATTTGCCTGAAGGAGGCTCTTTTCATTAGAGACCTAGCATCAGCAGGATGGTTAACACAAACAAATTAGCTTTAAGATAATTTGACGCTTGCTGTCTTTGGCAACTACTATGTTCATACTGTAAAAATTTGCAGAGTGGAAGGGCAGGAATAATAAAATACCTGCTGGACATTAATAACAGAAAACCATTTTGCCCAATTATTTTGTATTTCTTCTTCACTAAATTGATTACAACTGCTAACAAGTAGACAATCTGATTGTTCTACATTTAGATCCTGGAAAGCAATGAAAGGTTAGAGTCTAACACCCTGGTCCATCAAGCCAGTGATACAAGGCCACACACCACCTCCTGGGCTAGTTTTGTTGTTGTTGTTGCTTGGAAAATAGTTGTTGTTTAACTTTGTTATGTTTAGCTTTGTTATTTAACTCCGAACAGCTTATCTGCATGTGTTCTATCACATTTCCTGCAAGTTTGTTTTTTTTTTCACTTCCCCAATATAATCTTCCTACTGTTTTTTCTATATATGTCCTGTCTTGCTCCTCAGAGTTAGTTCGTGATACTGTCTTCCTGAGAATATGATTCATTTACTTAAAAAAGTATAACTTTAATTATTTTCCTAAGAGTTTTATTATTAATGAATAGCTGATAAAATAAAAAATAATTAATAAAGCATCCAAGAGCTAGTGGTTCATTATTGTAATCCTAGCTACTCAGGAGGCTGAGAGCTGAGGAGTGTGGTTTAAAGCCAGCCCAGGCAGGACAGTCTTTGAGAGTCCTGAAAGCTAAAAGTGGGCCGGGTGCTGTGGCTCACACCTGTAATCCAAGCTACCCAGGAGGCTGAGATCTGAGGATCACCGTTCAAAGCCAGCTCAAGCAGGAAAGTCTGTGAGACTCTTATTTCCTATTAGCCACTCAGAAAACCAGAAGTGGCACTGGAAGTAGAAGTAGAGCTAGAAGTAGAGCTGTGGCTCAAGTGGTAGGGTATCAGCCTTGAGTGAAAAAGCTAAGGGACAGTACCCAGGCCGAGTTCAAGCCCTTGCACTAGCATAAACTAATAATAATAATAATGCAAGAATAGGGACTGGGAAGGTGGCTCAGTGGTAGAGCGCTTGCCTTGCATGCCTGAGGCCCTGGGTTCGATTCCCCAGCACCACATAAGCAAAAAGAAAAAAAAGCCGGAAGTGGTGCTGTGGCTCAAGTGGTAGAGCGCTAGCCTTGAGCTGAAGAGCTGAGGGACAGCGCCCAGGCCCAGAGTTCAGGCCTCACGACTGGACCCAAAAAATAATAATAATAATAATGCAAGAATAGAAACTCTACAATTGTGCTTTTGAAATTTTCTAATCTTGGTCGGTCACTTAAGAATCACAGAACCCCTCTATTTTCCATGTTTTCCAAACAAGAGGCATATAGAGAGATCATGCACTTGCTAAAAAAAAAAGAACTATGTTTAATGAAATCTTTTATATGTATATAAATACATGTATATAAAATGAACTACACACACAACAAACACATCTTTCCCTGCTGCCTCAAGTTTAACACTCTGTCAGGGATCTTTAAGAGAGCTATAGTCAGCTTATAAGTTTTGGATGTTTCTGCTTCCTCTTTTAATAGAACAAGTGCTAAGGCTCTAGAAAATAAACTGATTAGATCAAAACAACTGTAAGTACAAAAATAAACTTTTTTTTAAAAAATGAGTTTAAATTATCAGATTTACCTATTCAAAGAGTGACAAAACACACAATATGTTTATAATTACATGTTTATTCACATCTCAGAGTTAGGGCATAAAGAATGGGACAGATGTGCTGATCTTCAAACTAGAAGCTGAAGAAAGTTTAGGCTTATCTCTGCCTGTACTAGTTTTCATTAAGACTCCAAGGGTCTTCTCTCCACTCACTAATCTTCACCTCCTTTCTTGGTGACCTTTTCCAAAGAAGAATAAACAGAAATAGGATCTAAAATTATCAGTTAGCATTGATTATGCAATGCCCGAAAACAAGTTGATATCAAATCTAGCAAAATGGTATTGAGCTAGCTACGTTAAAAGGCTTTGTTGATTTGCCAGGCACTGGTGGCTCATACCTGTAGTTGCTACTCAGGAGGCTGAGATCTGAGGATCTAAGTTCAAAGGCAGCCAGAGTAGAAAAGATTCTTAAATTGAATTAACCACGCTATGGCTCAAGTGGGAGAGCACCAGCTGCGAGTGAAAAAGTTCAGGGACAGGGGCTGGGAAGGTGGCTCACTGGTAGAGCGCTTGTCTTGCATGCTTGAGGCCCTGGGTTCGATTCCTCAGCACCACATAAGCAAAAAGAAAAAAGCCAGAAGTGGCGCTGTGGCTCAAGTGGTAGAGCGCTAGCCTTGAGCTGAAGAGCTGAGGGACAGCGCCCAGGCCCAGAGTTCAGGCCCCACGACTGGACCCCAAAAAAAAAAAAAAAAAACAAAAAAAGAAAAAGTTCAGGGACAGTGCCCAGGCCCTGAATTCAAGCCCCAGTATGGTACAAAACAGGAAGGGAGAGAGGGAAGAAGAAAGGGAGGGAGGGAGGAAGGGAAGGAGAGGGAGGAGGGAGGGAAGGAGAGAAAGTCACAGAGATAGGCTAGAGGGCTGGTGCAGCCTAATGATGCTGAATTATTGGCCTTTATTAAGAGATAAGAAGCCAGTGGATGGTTTGAGCAGAATTATTATTTGACTTTTTTAAAGCAGCATTCTGAAGGCCATGTTGAAAATAATAATGTACCTGTACATGCCTCTGCTATTAAAAATCTGTTCCCATATTTTTCATTTATTGATCTTCTCCATTAAGAGATTGATTTAGTTCAATTATAGCGTCTGACAGTATAGATGATGAATAAGTGCTTGTTAAATGAATAAACAGAATACTTCCACCAAAAATATAGGGTATGTAAGACAATAAGATGATTCAATCTTCTCATTTACTCTTCAAACGAAATTTATAAACATCAGACTAAGTGTATTTAGCATGCTGTTGAAAACTATTAAAATAGATGACATTGCAATGCCATCTTTCAGACTTATATAACTCAAACTTTCAGAGTGACTATGATTGCCTGTGATGATCCATGATTGATTAAGGGTAAAACCGTGTGTCCCCAAATTTAAAAATATATCGGTTCTTCACTTTCATACTTGCTGCTAACATGAGTCTAGAACAGACTAGTGCTTGCTCCCCTACCACTGAGGACAGTTTACTTACTGGTGTAGCCACATTCATGTTGTAAATTCCCGTTGGAGAGAGCTTATTTGGTTTAACAATTGGAATGCAATACTTAGTTTTCTCATCCATTCTGTAATTTAAAAATATTTTAAAGCTAGAATCAGTAAGAAGCATTATTTAAGTAAAAACAAAAAACAAATGAAATTAGCACCAAATGGCATAGTGTTCAATGAGAATTTAATGCATGCTCTCAAATACACAATGCATATATAATCTTGGTGAAATGTTCAACCATTTACCATCCATGCTTTCTACATGGCCAACTCCTGCCAAATAAATGATCTATCTTTCAGTAAATCCCACAAAGGAACTCCTTTGAATGCTCATAGCCAATCCATCCAACAGAAGGCTCTCAAAAATGTTTATTTCTTTGATTATAATAGCCTCTTTATACGCCAGGCATCAATGTCTCACACCTGTAATCCTAGACTCTTATCTCCAATAAGCCACTCAGAGAACCAGAAGTGGCGCTGTGGCTCCAGGGGTAAAGTGCTGGCCTTGAACTGAAGAGCTGAGGGACAGCGCCCAGGCCTAGGCCCACAACTGACAAAAATAAATGACAACAACAACAACAAAAAACTCCTTTTACATTATTAGATAAAATAGCTATAGATTCTCATACTTTAAACAGCACAACCCTACTTTCTTAAGACTCAGGTGAATTTTTAAATCAAATCCTAATAATTCTTATCACACAAGTCCAAAAGGTTTTGTTTGTTTGTTGCAACTGTGGGGCTTGAACTCAGGGCTTGGATCCTGTCCCTGCACCTCTTTGTGTTCAAGGCTAATGCTCTCCCACTTGAGCCACAGTGCCACTTTCAGTTTTTGAGTGCTTAATTGGAGATAAGAGTCTCCAGGAAACTTTTCTCCCCAGGCTGTCTTTGAACTGTGATCTTCAGATCTCAGCCTCCTGAGTAGCCAGGATTATAGCTGTGAGCCACCAGCACCCAGCCCAAAGTTTTAAAATCTGAAGTACCACAGTGGAGATTCTTGGTGCAATTAATACATACAATAATTGAAAAAGTGGGCTGAGATCTGAGAATTGTGATTTGGAGCCAGCCCAAGTAGACAAAACTTTTGAAAGTCTTATCTCCAATTAGCCAGTAAGAAGCCAAAATGGAGGCATGGCTCAAGTGCCCACAGTGAGTAAAAACACTGAAGTACAGGACAAGGCCCTTAGTTTGAAGAGTATATCAGCACATGCATGTGCACACATGTGCACACACCCAGACACACATGAAGTGGGCTCATTAAGGGGGTGAATACCACTTGGAGGGAAAGAGATAACCCAGGTGGCAAGAGAGGATGGTACAGAGTGAGCAGTTTGTAAGTATAAAAACAGAACAAAGGAACTGGTTAAAATTGTTTTGAAAAGAGTGAGTGGAAAAGGAAAAAAAAGAGAAGGATGTATTCAACCCATTTCATGTGTGTGTGGAAATGTTAGAATAGAACCCATGCCTTTTAGAACTAATATATGATAATTTTTTAAAGTTCTAAAAGTTAGCCGGGCGCTGGTGGCTCATGCCTGTAATCCTAGCTACTCAGGAGGCTGAGATCTGAGGATCGAGGTTCAAAGCCAGCCCAGGCAGGAAAGACTGTGAGACTCCTATCTCCAATAAACCACCAGAAAACCGGAAGTGGCGCTGTAGCTCAAGTGGTAGAGCGCTCGCCTTGAGCTGAAGAGCTGAGGGACAGTGCCCAGATCCAGCGTTCAAGCCCACGACTGACCAAAAAAAAAAAAAAAAGTTCTAAAAGTTATCTTACAGGTAAAAATAACTCCCAGAATCCTGAGAGTAAACAACTATAGATGAACTAAGAAACTTGTCATTTCTTTTTTTGTCGGTCATGGGGCTTGAACTCTGGGCCTGGGGGCTGTCCCTCAGATCTTCAGCTCAAGGCTAACATACTACCACTTGGAGCTACAGTGCCACTTTTGATTTTCTGGTGGTTTATTGGAGAGAAGTCTCATGGACTTTCCTGCTGGGGCTGGCTTTGAACCGTGATCCTCAGATCTCAGCCTCCCAAGTAGCTAGGATTACAGGCATGAGCCACTAGTGTGTGGCTTGTCATTTCTTTTCTAGAGCTGGTACTGGGGCTTACACTCAAGACCTTGTACTCTCACTTGGTTTTCTTGCTCATGGCTGGTGCTCTACCACTTGAGCCTCCAGTTTGGCATTAGGCTGGTTATTTGGAGTCTTATGGGCTTTTCTGCCTGGGCTGGCTTCTAACAATTAGTCTTTAGTCTCAGCCTTCTAAGTAACTGGGATTACAGGCATGAGCTACCTATGCCTGGCTTAAACAGTTGTAATTTATAAATACATCATGAAGTAATTTTTGGTCTTATTTTCTAAATTCATACCTGTAATTCTGCCCTCCTGGGATGGTGCCCACCACAGAATTAACACCAGGAGCCATGGTAGCAAGACTGTGTGTGAGTGGAGGAATTGCCATGCCTGGGCTCTTCGCATGATCCAAGTTGGCAACGCTGCTGTCTCTGAGGCTTGTGGAAGGCACTGCTTTGGTGTGGCTGGTCCCATTGTCATAGAGACAGTTGGCATTTGAAGCTCTGTTGACTTTTTCTCCATCAAGTTTTGATGCTTTTAACTTAAATGGTTTAGAGTCCGTAATTTTGGATTCACTATTGGTGTCCTGACCAAGAATAAAAATGTTTAAAAGAAAAAGTTAATCACCTGAAAAGAAAGTTGCCATGTACTGGAAGCTCAGGCTGTAATCCTAGCTATTCTTAACTACTGGAAAGCTGAAAATAGAACTGTGTCTCAAGTGATAGAGCACCAGCCTCAAACAAAAAAGGGAAGGGAAAGTGTCCAGGCCCTGAGTTCAAGCCCCAGGACTGGCACACACAAAAAAAAAGAAAGGTAAGAAAAGAATTAAAATTAACCTCAGATTATTATTCAAATAGTCATTGTGGAAATAAAGACTGGACACACAACTCACATTAACTCTGCTAAATATATTTTTGTGTGTATAAATTAAAATGGAACAAAAACATGGAAAAGAAATCAAGAATCATTTTTCATTTATATTCAAGGATCAGGGACTATAATATTGAAAGTTTTTCTTCTTTTGGCTCACTTGATGGCAGAGAGTTGATATTAGATTTGAGTTGCTATATTAAGAACAGATCCTGGTCAGGCATGGGTGGCTCAGGCCTGTAATCTTAGTTACTCAATAAGCTGAGATCTGAGGATCATGGTCCAAAGCTAGACCAGGCAGGAATGAAAATCTGTGAGACTCCTTCTCCAATTAACCACCAGAAAACAAGAAGTAGAGCTGTGGCTCAAAGTGGTAGGGCACTAGCCTTGAACAAAAGAGCTCAATGACAGTACTCAGGCCCCAAGTTCAAGCCCAACAACCGGAAAAAAAAATCCAAGTCTCAAACTGAAAATACTCTGTGTGTGGGTGTTTGTGAGTGGGTGTTTCTTTTTTTTTTTTAATTGTGAAAATACTGTACAGAGGAGTTACAACTACATGGGCAAGATAATAAGTACAATTCTTATCAAGCAATGTAGCCTCCTCCTCCTTTGTTTCCCCATGTGTGTGTTTCTTGAAGTTGTGTCTAAGTGTTCTTGAAGGTATAGAACCGAGGTTTTCTGAGATAGCTCCAGCCATGAAAGATCCTGTAGACTATGTGACCTTGGCTGAGAACATTGTAGAGAAACTGAATGTTATAGTCGAGAATCAAAGTTATTGTGAGCTATCTTAGGCCCTTAATAGCCATATACTTCAAACTCGAGGCTACTGGGTAAAACTGTTGAAATGCAGCCTCAGCTTAGCAGATCTCTAGGCCACACCGGGCCCCAAGCTGAAAATGCTAAGAGATAACATCTGAAACCTATTTTTAAAAAAAAAAGGTTTCCTGTTACTGCTGTAGCTTGCCTACTTAATGTCCCCACTAATAAATTATTTAGTAAATTATTTATTTTATGATTTTTTTTGTCCTGTGACTATAAAAGTTCATATAACTTCTTCTACAGTGAAATGTCATTCTGGGGAGCTTGAATCTTTGCTCTCAAGCCTTAGTCATTCATATTCAATTCAGAACAAACTTTTTTTATTGCCTTTACAACAGACTCATTATTTTACATCATGTGATTTCCTGACAAATACTACAGCACAGTCTAACACACATTAGGCTCTCAAAACGTAATATATTTCTGGGCACAGGTGGCTCATACCTGTAATCTTAGCTACTCAGGAAGCTAAAATCTGATTATCACAGCTCAAAGCCAGACAGAGCAAAAAAATCTATGACAAGACTCATCGCCAATAACCACTTCCCCACCAAAAAAAAAAAAAAAAAGCCAGAAATGGAGCTGCAGAGGCTGGGAATGTGACAGTGATAGAGTGCATGTCTAGCATGCATAAAGCCCTGGGTTCAATTCCTCAATACCACTAAAACAGAAAATACCAGAAGTGGGGCTGTGGCTCAAAGTGGTAGAGCACTAGCCTTGAGTGAAAGAGCTGAGGGACAGCACAGAAAAGAAGGAAGGAGAGCAAGCAAGCAAGAAAGAAAGAAAGAAAGAAAGGAAGAAAGAAAGAAAGGAAGAAAGGAAGAAAGAAAAAAGAAAGAAAGAAAGAGAAAGAAAGAAAGAAAAGAAAGAAAGAAAGAAAGAAGGAAGGGAGGGAGGGAGGGAGGGAGGGAGGGAGGGAGGGAGGAAGGGAGGAAGGAAGGAAGGAAGGGAAAGGAAGAAAGAAAGGAAGAAAGAAATGGAGCTGTGACTCAAATGATGAGCTCCAGCTAGCCTTAAGTGAAAAAGCTAAGAGATAACACCCAGACCCTGAGTTCAAGTCCTTGTACTAGCACAAATGAATGGCATGATAAAGTTTTGTTTTACCCTGGGCTTCATGCATGTTAAGCGAGCACTCTATCACTAAGCCACATTCCCAGCCCTCATATGTTTTTTTTGCAACAAGGCCAAGTTCATAAACTTGCTGACCACTCAAAAATACTTCTTTTAAAACATCTTCATTTTCACCTCAAATTTAAATCTTTAAACACAAAACATTTACCTGTACCACAGGTGTTTTTCTTTCTTCACTAAAGGAATCATCTTTTTCCTTTTCCTTCTTTCTGGTTTGGGATTTTTTACATGACATATTCTTTTCATCTTTCTGAACTTTTAACTGAAGTTCCTGAGAAAACCTATGTAAAGAAACACATTTCTCAATAAAAATAAAATGGTATGAGAAAAATAAACATAGGAAAAAATGATTTTCAAGGTAACTTTCAAAAAACATAGGTGATAGTCTATTTTATTTAAAATGAGGAAATTCATGGCCTAGATCAACTGTTCTGAAAGGTTTGTCTGTAGATTGTGTGGGGTTCCTAAGAACTTCAGTCTTAGCTCTTAACACAAAGAGGTCGCCTTTTTGAACTTTTAACATTTGCACTGCAGCTATGAAAGCAATGACACCTTATGAAAGTATTAAACACTGGCAGTAAACTGTGCTAGGTGTCATGGTTTTCTTCATGGTTACATGTGATAGCAGTCTCAATGGTTTTTGTTTTATTTTTATGTTTGTTTGGTGTGGGTTTTTTGCTGGTCCTGGGGCCTGAACTCTGGCCCTAAGCAACTGTCCCTGAGCTGTTGGGCCCAAGGCTAGTATTCTATCACTTGAACCACAGCTCCACTTCTGCTTTTTAGGTAGTTTATTGGAGCTAAGAGTCAAGTGGGCTTTTCTGTCCATTCGGGCTTTGAACTATTACCCTCATATCTCAGCCTCCTAAGTAGCTAGAATTATGGGTGCCACCAGTTTCCCAGCTGGCAGTCATGAACAAAAACAACAATCTTTTTCACTTAAGTTTCACTTCAGAATGTTCCTGTAGAAGCAATAGAAAGGTGCTGATTTGATTAAAACTGAAATCTTTGCTGGGCACCTTTGGCTCACAACTATAATCCTAGCTACTCAGGAGGCTGAGATCTGAGGATCCAGGTTCAAAGCCAGCCTGGGGCAGGAAAAGTCTGAGACTCTTATCTCCACTAAACCACCAGAAAAGGGGACGCGCACTGTGGTTCAACTGGTAGAGAACTCTCCTGAGCTGAAGAGCTGAGGGACAGTGCCCAGGCCTAGAGTTCAAGCATCACAACCGACAAAAAGAAAAACAAAACTGAGGGCTGGGAAGGTGGCTCAGTGGTAGAGTGCTTGCCTTGCATGCCTGAGGCCCTGGGTTCAATTCCTCAGCACCACATAAGCAAAAACAAAAAAGCCGGAAGTGGCGCTGTGGCTCAAGTGGTAGAGCGCTAGCCTTGAGCTGAAGAACTGAGGGACAGCGCCCAGACCCAGAGTTCAGGCCCCACGACCGGACCCAAAAAAAAAAAAGAAAGAAAAAGAAAAACAAAACTGAAACCCTTGAGCACATCTTCCTATACTAATATGCACAAAACTTCTCTGACATGAGCCAAAGCACAATGATGATCTTAAGAAAAGCACTTGTGGCCCAGGGCTGGTGTATCATGTCTGTACTCTTAGCTACTCAAGAGGCTGAGATCAGAGGATTACAGTTCAAAGCCAGCCCAGACTGACAAATCTCAAGAGACTCTCTTTCCAATTAACCATCAAAAAAGATAGAAGTTGAACTATGGTTTAAGTGGTAGGTATCCAGCTTTGAATAAAAAAGTCAAGAAAGAGTACAAGGCCCTGAGTTTAAGCCTCAGTAACATCACAAGTCAAGAAAGAGTACAAGGCCCTGAGTTTAAGCCTCAGTAACATCACACAAATAAAAAAAATAAAAATAAAAGAATCCACAATGGCCTATAAAAGCTTTTAAAATATGCTTCTATATCACCAACTACATATTTTTGAGAAACCAGAATTTCTTCATTCCTTAAGTCAAAATAATACCAGGTGCTGGTGGCTCACACCTATAAATCCTAGCTACTCAAGAGGCTGAGATCTGAGGATCACGGTTCAAAGCCAGCTTAGGCAGAAAAGTCCCTGTGAGACTCTTATCTCCAATTAACCACCAAAAAACCGATGTGGAGGCTGTGGATCAAAATGATAGAGCACTAGCCTTGAGCAAGAAATGCTCAGGAACAGCACCCAGGCCCTGAATTCAAGCCCTACAACTGATAAAAAATAGTTAAGAGTAAACCAAAACAACATATTGTAACCAACTTAATGTAGAAGCTAACACAAGACTCCAGGCTCTCTTTCATTAAGCTAGATATTAAGATTTGCCCCTTCCTCTGTGTGTGTGTGTGTGTGTGTGTGTGTGTGTGCTATCATTGCCACTCATCTCATTATTTGTTTTGTCAGCCTTACTGATGCCAAATGATTCCAGCACCAGAAACAGCGCCAGAGACCATGCAGCACCACTGGCAACCACACACAGGTTGGCAGCACCGTAGGGCCTGGTGGAGTTTGTCTGGCAGCAAGAGGACATGGCATTTTTTGCTCTGAATCAGTGTCCAAGATGATGACATCACATAACAGCAGCATAGAAATAATTGAAAACCAAATGGAAGATGCCACCACAGGAAGTCAGGTACAAAGCCTGAAGAATTGCTGCATGCAAACCAGCTGAAGTAGTTTAGTAAATATAGGAGACCACCCCAAGGAATTGCTTTCTTGCCTAAGCCATCAATCTAAGGTAACTGGGGACAGGATGTAGATATTTGAGATTCTGCAAGAATAGGTGGTAACAGGAAGAAAAGACAAATACTGTTTAACTGTTGGTGAAGTTTTCTTGAGCCCTGACTTCCTATAGCCTGGAAAACGCAGGTTGCTACTATACCTCTCAGCAAACCCATCCGCTTGAAAGAAATCATGGCTCAGGAGCTCAGGGCAGAAAGGTCTTTTGTCTGGGTCAACATGTAAGCACTTCTGAAAAATCAAGAACATATACCATTCTTTATTCAAGGAAAACTGCCTACAGTTAAGTGTATAAATATAGAGATATAGAAAACCCTTCTTTAAAACCAATGAATTTTAACTATCTATAATCAAGGATGAATAAATCCTAGAAAATAATTATCAGTTGTTAATACCATACAAACAGGCAAAAAACAAAACAAAAATAAAAACAAAAACGAACATGCCAGACATTCAGTGTCTCTAGATGGAAATATACAAACTCATGCAAATTTGTCCTGCCCCAAAAAAAAAAATCTGAATTCTTACCAATCTCTGGATTTACTATAATTGTATAAGAAATAAAAAACATGAGAATATGTTAAGCTATGTTATATAAAAATATGGAACATATAACATACTTGCTTTACTAAATTGCAAGATTTAAACAAAAGAGAAAGAAAGAAAGAAAATGAAAGAAGTTTAGCCAGGCATAATAACATGTATCTGTAATCCCTGCACACAGTAGGTTGAGGCTGTGGCAGAAAGATCACAATTCTGATTTTTAAAACAAAACTCTGTCTAAAAAACAAAAATCAGCCAAGTGCCAGTGTCTCAAGCGTGTAATCCTAGCTATTAAGGAGGCTGAGATCTGAGGATCATGGTTGAAAGCCAGCCCAGACAGGAAAGTCCATGAGACTCTTATCTCCAATTAACTAGCAGAAAACCCCAAGTGGGACTGTGGTTAAAAATGGTAGAGTGTTAGCCTTGAGCAAAAGAGCTCAGGAACAGTGCCCAGATCTTGAGTTCAAGCCCCACAACTACCACCACCAACAAAAAAATCATGTTTCGTGAAATAAGCCAGACAAAGATAGATATCTCATGTTTTCCTCTCATATGCAGAATCTAGTTTTTTTGGTGGGACAGGGGGAGGAATGGTATAAGAGTACAATGGAGGGGTGACATGCATAAGGAGTAGGGACAAAGAATAGAGTGGAAGTAGACATGCTCGAAGTACTTCATAGCCATGCACAAATATAGAATAATGAAAGTTAGTAAGGATTGTTTTACAAGTGGAGGGTGCTAGGTGCTTTACATAGATGATTTAACACGCGGTCTTCTCATTCATCAAAACATTCAATGCAAATAAAAACAGGACTCGGTAAATAGCTTTAAGTGAAAATGATAAGTTGTATGACTAATTGAGGCCATTTATTATGTCAAATAACAGCATATAAGATTTATTTCAAAATACTGCAAGAAAAATGTTAAAGGTCAGATAAACAGATTATCGAAAAGTTAGTAATCATTAAAGCCAGAAGACAAGTATATGAAGGCTTATTATACTGTCAACTGCTGTTCCTGTTTGAGATTTTTCTATCTATAATTAGATGTTTAATGAATATATGATTCTACTTAAGGGATGTAAGTTGGACTTCAATTAACCTTTATTTCCTTTAAATATCTTTATAGACAAATCACAAAGTTGGTCCCAATGAAAAATATTTCACCTCTAAGTTATATAGAAAAATAGAAATGTTTTAAGTCTAGAGGCTTATAATTCGTTCTATGTTTCCTAATTTTTTTTTTCTACCAGTCCAGGGCCTGGGCACTGTCCCAGAGCTCTTTTGCTCACGGCTAGCACTCTACCACTTGAGCCACAGTTCTCCTGCTGGCTTTTTTTTGTTTTTTTTTTTTGTAGATAATTGGAGACAAGAGTCTTTTCTGCCTAGGCTGGCTTCTTCAGATCTCAACTTCCTAAGTTGCTAGGATTACAGGTATGGGGCACCAGCACCCAGCTTCGTGGACATTTTTTAATGAGTTAAAGAAAGCACATACCTGTAATCCTACCTACTCAGGAGCCTGAGATCTGAGGATTGCCGTTCAATGCCAGCCTGGGCAGGAAAGTTCCTAAGACTTTTTTTTATCTGTCATGGGGGTTGAACTCTGGGCTTGGGTGCTTTCCCTGAGCTCTTCAGCTCAAGATAATGCTCTACCACTTGAGCCACAGTGCAACTTCCAGTTTTCTTGGAGATAAGAATCTCACAGACTTTCCTGCTCTGGCTGGCTTTGAACCGCGATCCTCAGATCTCAGCCTCCTGAATAGCTATGATTACAGGCAAGAGCCACCAAACCGGAAATGGCACTGTGGCTCAAGTGGTAGAGCACTGGCCTTAAGCTGAAGAGCTCAGGGACAGCGCCCAGGTCCAGATGTCAAGCCCCACAACCAACAACAAACAACAACAACAAAAAGCAAGCAAACTAACTTGAATAACTGTTACAAAATCCTGGAGATTTAGTAGTTTGGACAACTTAATGAGAACTTTCTGAGTTAATAATGTTAAAGGGTAGACTTGATACAATGAAAATCTCCCTAAGATCTTCCCCAGTTAAATGTAAAAAAAATAATAATAATAACAATAATATAAAAGTAATAATAGCTATTTATAAATTAGCTTTAGCAGATTGTGTCTTAGCAAAGTTCCCCTTTACTACAGGCTGTGATCCTATCATCTCATTTCCACAAAAGTTTAAAACATAATTTTTATTTTTTATGTAGTTTTATATGAGAATATTTTTACACGTTTCTATATCCTAGAAACACTTCTTAATGTAATTTTTAAACAAGTAAAAAATTTCAAGCTTTTATCTCATATTTCTCTGCCTTTCTCTCTCACATGTACACATATATTGTTATTTAACCTCTTAATGTACAAAAATTAAAGTAACCAGAGGAAACCGTTGACCTAAAAAATCAACTAGACATAGGAAGGAGTGTGGGGGGAGACCAAATCTCCATCATAGATAAACTCCCTATTAGAAAATGAGAAGTGACTTCGCTCTCTGCCTAATAAAAGGAGAAAAAGAAAATGACAAGTAAAATATTATTGTTACCTTTGTTAAGTCTATCACAACCTCAGGCAGCTTAGGATAGCGTCTTTCAAGAGGCTCTGTTTCCTTTATTTCAGGCAATCTTCCTCCAGCAAACACAGGGTTTTTATAAAACAGCTCCTGATGTCTTGGAATTAAATTACCTAGAAACAAAAAACAGACAGTTATCATTATACAAGATAGAAATGGAAAATAAATGCGTGTTGTAGAGGAAATAACAGAGCCCAGATTATGAAATTTAGAACTTTCTCAGCATGTAGAATCAAGCCAAAGACGTGTGTGTGTGTGTGTGTGTGTGTGTGTGTGTGTGTGTGTGTGTGTGGTGGTGTGTCCGTCATGGGGCCTGAGCTCTGGGGCTGGGCACTGTCCTTCAGCTCAAGGCTCAAGGCTAGCACCCTACCACTTGAGCAACAGCGCCACTTCCGGCTTTTTCTGCTTATGTGGTGCTGAAGAATCAAACCCAGGGTCTCATGCATGCAAGGTAAGCACTCTACCACTGAGCCACCTTCCCAGCCCTGTGACTGGAATTTGAACTCAGGGATTGCACTTGCTAAACAAGTACTCTGGCAAAAAAAATAAATAAATAAAATAAACAAGTACTCTATTACTTGAGCTTGAGCCATGTTGCACTCTTTATACTGGCTTAGAAACAAGCCAAATTATGGAAATTAACCTTGCTATCTCATCTTACTCATTTAGAAAAGTTTATATGCAGCCATGAGAATTAAAATGATAGAACATAAACAAAAAGCTACTTATTTCTTCATAACTTTCTAAACACAAGTACTAATCACCACAGTCCTGATATGATGGACTAGACTGACCCAAACCAAGAAAATACAGTAACTTAAACAGAATATAATCAGTTCTTCCCTTTAATAATTTAATTTGTATCAAGAGATTTTTTTTCCTTTTTTTTTTGGTAGGCCATGGGGCTTGAACTCTGGGCCTAGGCACTGTCCCTGAGCTCTTCAGCTCAAGGGAAGGGCTCTCCCATTTGAGCCACAGCACTGGTGGTTAATTGGAGATAAGAGTTTCATGGACTTTCCTGGCTTGGCTGGCTTTGAATCTTGATCTTCAGTTCTCAGCCTCCTGAGCAGCTAGGATTACAGGTGTGAGCCACCAGTGCCAGTGGTCAACAGATTTTATACCTTATCTAAGACAAGATATGGATCCTATCTTTTTGCTCTACTTTAATCCCTTATCATGAGATAGATATGAAAATTCTACTTTAAGAATTATTATTTATTGAATTCTTAATTGAATAAAGAATTGAAACGCAGTCGGACACCAGTGGTAGGCTAGTGCCTTAATAAAAATTCTCAGGGACAGCATCTAGACACTGAGTTCAAGCTCTAGTACCAATGTACTTCCCCCTCTGTATAACTGTCAACTAATAAAATAAATAAAAAATAAATTAATTACATTAAGACAAATACTTTAATTGATCCCCGGGTTTTTTCTGGTTATGTTTCTCTTCCAAGCTCTATATGCAAAGATGAAATTAATATTTCAACAAAAGTAAGACCTTAGGGTCTACTATGAAATTCTTTTCAAAGCACTATCAACGGAAGTCAGATCCAAGGAAAGATTAAACTACTGTGTCTCTCATCTCAAAGGTGAGGATGATGGTAATAGCCATCACCAAATGCTTACTGATCCAAAGATAATAAATGGTTTTCTGCCTCTTCTACATAGGATTAACTAAGTGTAAAAGCACAGAGGAATGTACAACCTCTGTTTCTTCTTTGATGAGAGCTGGAGGGAGGTGACTGAAATTAAGGATATGTGTCATAACAAGGATTCAGTGACTCATGCATGTAGTCCTAGTCAGTCAGGACTCTAAGACCTAAGTACCCCAGTTCAAAGTCAGCCAGGGCAATAAAGTCGGTGAGACTCTTATTTCCAATTAATCACTAAAAAGACAGAAGTAGAGCTGTGGCTCATGTAGCAGAGCACTAGCCTTCAGCAAAAATTGCTCAAGGGCAGCACCCAGGCCCTGAGTTCAAGCCTCAATACCAGCACACACACACACACAAAAAGGACATATATAGATAAACCAAAGCATATATACATATAATATATCATGTTATATTACATATATTATTACAGTATATTAAGATATGTGTTATTAATTTTATGTTCATCGATATATGTTAATATATTGGCACTGTATTAATATATAGTATTATTAGATATTATATATCATGACATATCATGATATATTTTTATATCATTATATATTTTATATCATATATTTATATATACATATATTTGATATAAACAAGTATCTTTAATATACTAACAAGTTTAAAAATCAGTAAATGCAGGAACTTTCTAAAATTTAAAATACAGATGTATAATCTTACCTAAACATGTCATAATGTGATACAGTTGATCAATATCAGACTCTCCAGGAAATAGGGCTTCCCCCATGAGCATTTCAGTTACCAGGCAACCGATGGCCCACACATCAACAGCCCTAAAAGAAATATAAAATCTAGCTGCATATCTAACATGTTTACTTACTATATCTGTTCTGCATTTTACTATGTGATATTTGGAGTTGAAGCAAGCCTTGAATTGTTCATAAAAAGACATATCCCTAACAAGTTAAGGGTTCTAATTCTGCATTTTAAGTTGTGAGATTTTCAGAAAGTTCAGTCATGTGACACTAGAGGAAAAAGGCTTCTGAAAGGTCAAAACAATGATCACCCCTTCCTCATGTAACTGTAACCTCTCTGTACAGTATTTTTACAATAAAAACATATAAAAATTATCACATGTACTTTATTTTGGAAACAAGACTCTCAGGATTCCAGGGCCTTCCTTCTAACAAGGCTCAGAAGTCTATTCTTTGGTGCACTGAAAAAAAAAAAAAAAAAAGCACAATAGAAAAAAGGGTGTTGCTGAAGAAAAACATAGATAAAAGAACCAAAAACCAAGAGGGAAAAAAAAATAAAACAATCCTAAAAATTTTTCACAAGAATTCAAAGACTATATTACCATCATTTAGCATAACTGCCCTGAAGTTACTTAAGATAGTTGCTGAATTATAAAATGGTACAAAAATACTAGCAAGGCAGCAAAACGGGAATTCTGGATAATTGAGAAAATCTTGAGACATTTTTAGTCTGAAAACAAAGAAACTATACAAAATATTTTAGAAAGATTTCTATCAAAAACAATTTAAAAAGCTAGAAACAGGAGGCTCACTCCTGTAATCCTGTAATTCAGGAGGCTGAGAGCTAGATGATCACAATCCAAAGCCAGTCCAGGCAGAAAAGTCATTGAGACTCCATCCCCAAAATACCCAGCAAAAAGTAGAGCTTGAAGCATGGCTCAAGTGATAGAGTATAGCCAGACAAGAAAGCAAGTTGAGCAAGCTTGAGATCCTGAGTTCAAAACACTAGTACCACTAAAAAATGAATTCACTTATGAAGACAACTTATGCTTAGTAAAGACTTCATATATGTGGACTGAAAAAAAAATTTCACTCAATCACATTTCTCCCACTCTTGCCTACTCTAACCCATCTCATTCTAATATTCCAAAAAAAACCAGACTTCTCCAATTTTACTATCTTGTTACAAATAAAATAGATGTGTGTATATATATACATATATATTTATGTATGACCATTGTAAAAAGATAGATATATACAATTATAATACATATATATATATCAGCAGACCATTGTAAAAAGTATACCAAAGCAATCTACCAGTGACACATACACTCCCAGCCCTTACAAGAACTTTAAAAGGGTAAGTATAAAAAGTGAAAATGAGTACCTATCACTTTGTAAACTTCCCTAAACTTGAACTTTCCTTTCCAGAGTTACAGATCTTTATTATATTAACCTATTCCATTGAGTCAAGAAAAGAAAACTAAACTCTGCTCCCTCTCATTCATATATCTTACTTGCCATACTTGACATCACCAACCAGCAGTTCTGGCGCTCTGTACCATCGTGTAGCCACGTAATCAGTATAAACCTCCCCAGGAGCTGCCAGTGTTCGAGCAAATCCAAAGTCACATAACTTGACAACACCAGACTGAGAGACCAGTATATTTTCTGGCTTTATATCTCTATGTATGATCTAAGACAAAAAGCAGAATATCACGTATGTTAAACAAATTACTTTCCATGAGCAGCACACTTTTTCTGTCCTTCAAAAGATTACAGCCAGGTGGCAGTGGCTTACTCCTGTAATCCTAGCTATTCGGGAGGCTGAGATGTGAGGATCAGTTTGAAGCCAGCCCAGACAGGAAAGTCCATCAGACTTTTTCTTTTCTTTTTTTTTTTTTCTGTCGTCATGGGGCTTGAACTCTGGACCTGGGGGCTGTCCCTACACTCTTCAGCTCAAGGAGAACACTCTACCGCTTGAACCACAGCGCCACTTCCAGTTTTCTAGTGGTTTATTGGAGATAGGAGTCTCACGGACTTTCCTGCAGAGGCTGGCTTTGAACCTCAATCCTCAGATCTCAGCCTCCTGAGTAGTTAGGATTATAGGCGTGAGCCTCTGGCGCCTGGCCCCATCAGACTCTTATCTCCAATTAACCAATCAAAAATTGGGAGTGATAGTGTGCTCAAAGTGGTAGAGCACTAGCCTTGAGCAAAAGCAGCTCAGGGACAGCACCCAGAACCTGAGTTCAAGCCCCACAACTAAAAAAAAGGACATTCATGCTTGAAGTTTAAGCTATAAAAAATATTGAATATACATATGAATATATTACTATGAACAATCAACTGCACAGGTATTTTTGTTCAGTGGTTCAATTGGCAAGCCAATCCTTAGTGCAGATATAATGTAGGAGAGCTTAGCTACCTTCATAAGTACTATAGGCCCACTGGAAAAGTACCATCCTTTATATGAGAAGGAATAATCAATGTCTTTCCAATTGATTCCATTAAGTATTTGCTTTACTAACACCTCATAGTACTCTAATTTCCTGCACGCTCAATGTTATTTCTATACCTCATTGTTTTAGCTCTGTAATGATCATATCTTGATTCTACTAAACTGGCATTTAGACACCCAAGTTTGATTAATATGAGTTTGCTCTAAGAGACAGAAATAGCCAAAAAATTAGATTTCTCAAAAATCACTTTGGGAAACTGGATTATTCCTAAATTGCTAAGAGGCCACTTTGGGAGCTTCTCTAAAAAAAATGTTTCCCATATAGAAACTAGAAATTTCTCTTTAGTGAACAATTGCCTTAGTATATATAATTCAATGTATAATGAAACTATATAAGCTAGATGTGATAGGTCATGCCTATAATCCTAGCTACTCAGAAAGCTGAGCTCTGAGGATCACAGTTTCAAGCTAGCTCTGGCAGGAAAGTCCGTGAGAGTCTTATCTTCAATTAACCTACAAAAGTGGGAAATAGAGCTGTGGCTCACATGGTAGAGCACTAGCCTTGAGCAAAATAAAGCTCAGGCACAGCACCATAGGCCCCTTCAGCCTGGGACCAACACAAAAACAAAAAGGAAAACAAAAAATTAATAAGACAGTAAAATAATAAGAAAATTGAAAAAAATCAAGGGCACATACATTATGTACCTCTTATTCTTTTATACAATTATCTTTGTTTTTTCCTACCATTAATGCTTATTATTTTAATCACACAAAAGAATCAAATGAAATTCATGATCATACAAAAATGTCATTTAACATAAAATAAAACTTGTAGAATATATGTTAAATTACTTATTTTATATACATCACTCCCAGAGGTGTCATTTTTCCTGGAGTAAAAGTGCAATATAGTGTAGGATAAGAGGGCTGGGAAGGTGGCTCAGTGGTAGAGCGCTTGCCTTGCATGCATGAGGCCCTGGGTTCGATTCCTCAGCACCACATAAGCAAAAAAGAAAAAAGCCGGAAGTGGTGCTGTGGCTCAAGTGGTAGAGCATTAACCTTGAGCTGAAGAGCTGAGGGACAGTGCCCAGGCCCAGAGTTCAGGCCCACGACCAGACCAAAAAAAAAAAATAGTGTAGGATAAGAATAGATACTTTCATAATTTCATATCTCACAACTTGTCCAAGAAAAGGAATTAATACATACATTCTTGGTGTATAAATTTAATAAAACTCATTACTTTATACTTGTACATTTCACTGTTACCTTTTTAGAAAGGAACAATTAACACATTTTTATGTCTAATTAATGAAATGCACAAATAAAGAAAATGCATGTTGGGAGGAATTGATACATGTATTATGACACATAAAAATTGGCAATATCAAAATAATACAGTTCACTTCAATTATTTTACGGTTTTAAGCTTTATACTAATATATCATAGATTGACTGGTATCTAGGTAGTTAACAATTGTTAAAAGTAATTATTTAAACTGAATACTCACATTGTGACTATGACAAAATCCAATTCCACTAATAATCTGAAACAAATACTTTTGGACAACTTGGTAGTCTAGTCCCTTGGGAAAGAGTTCCAAGTCATCAAGAATGGTGTGATCAACAAATTCAAAGACTAGGTACCAGCGTTTCTTTTTCTTACACACTTCCAACAGATTCACCAAATTTTCATGCCTCAGTTGCTGTTATTAGAAAAAAAAAATACAAGGTCAGTTTATAAGACAAAATTGCTAGCAATTAGTCACTGGCTAAAATAGATCCCTGTGTAAGAAAAACATAAATAAAATGCATAAGCAATGCATATTATGAAAATGCATTCTAGGGGCTGGGAAGGTGGCTCAGTGGTAGAGCGCTTGCCTTGCATGCATGAGGCCCTGGGTAGATTCCTCAGCACCACATAAGCAAAAACAAAAAAGCCGGAAGTGGCGCTGTGGCTCAAGTGGTAGAGCGCTAGTCTTGAGCTGAAGAGCTGAGGAACAGCGCCCAGGCCCAGAGTTCAGGCCCCACGACCGGACCCAAAACAAAAAAAAAAAGAAAATGCATTCTAGTTGGAAAATACCAGTAAAAAGACCATATTGCTCCTTTTTCTCCTCAGGGAAAAGTAAAGCCTTGAGGAAGCAGGACTGTAACACCATCTTTGATGAGACGAGGACGCATCTTCAACCTCCACCAACAACAAAGAGGGAAGAGCTACCAAATATAGTCAAGGTCAGACAGGAGTGTGGAGAAATACCAAAATATTATCTATGGTTATGAAGCTGGCAGAAAATGATTTCACAGCAGAAATTAAAGCAGCAAGCATCTATCTCAACTTCAGACAACGGACTGCAGGATAGCACATTGAGGATAAGTGGCAGGAATTAAATTACAAAAATTTTAAAATAAAACAGAAACATACATAATAGAGGAGATAAAGTCAAGCAGTGGTTTCTTCTAGCAATAGATGTAGCTGGGTGCTGGTGGCTCACACCTGCAATCCTAGCTACTCAGAAGGCTGAGATCTGAGGATCACAGTTCAAAGCCAGCCCAGGCAGAAAAGTCCATGAGACTTTTTTGTTGTTGTTGGTCATGGGGTTTGAACTCTGGGCCTGAGCGCTGTCCCTCAGCTCTTCAGCTCAAGGCAAATGCTCTACCACTTGAGCTCAGTGCCACTTCCAGTTTTCTGGTGGTTTATTGGAGATAAGAGTTTCACGGACTTTCCTACCCAGGCTGGCTTTGAACCTCCATCCTCAGATCTCAGCCTCCTGAGTAGCTAGGATTACAAGTGAGAGCCATCGGTGCCCGGCTCCATGAGACTCTTATCTCCAATTAACCACGCAAAACCCAAAGTGGTTTAGCTGTAGCTAAAAGCAGTAGAATGTTAGCCTTGAGCAAAAGCTCAGGGACAGAGCCCAGACCCCTTGTTCAAGCCCCAGGATCTACAAAAAAGAAAAAAGAAAGAAAGAAAGAGAGAAGGGGGGGGGGGGGGGAATGGAGAAACAATTTTACGGAGGAGGCCCTGAAACTGAATTGCTTATTAAGCACAAGCTGCTTGCAAAGTGGGCTGTTAGCTGGCACCTGGGAACTTAGCTTTCGGGAGGGTTTCCCTTCATTTCCAGATATGGTGACTAATTTTCTGAGAGAGTAGACAAAATTAATATGCTCAACATTGTTAACTCTGTGCTCTTGTTTCTATGGCAGGAAAAAATCCTACTGGTTTTAAATTACAATGGAAAAATATGAGAATCTAGGATGGGTTGGAAAAACTGTGCGGACAATATTGCACATATTGCATACCTGCTTCCTTCTGGGAATGGAGAATTTGGGTTGGTAGTAGGCCGAGAGTGTCTATGTGGGCAGCCCCTAATAAAATCCCTGGGTACTGAACATTTAATGAATTTCCTTAGTAGACAATATTTCCCATGTGCTGCCACCATTCATTGCTGAAGGAAATAAGCACATTCTGTGTGACCTGACTACAAGAGGACTCTTGTTCTACCTTGCACCCCTTTGCTGATTTTGCTTTATACTCTTTCACTGTAATAGGTCTTAGATAAGGACTTATATATATGCTATATGCTGAGGACCATGATCTTCCTATTGAGTTACTGAACCCAAAAGTAGTCTTAGGGACCACTAACACAGATGATTGGTTGATCAACAGGCAGATGACTCAGAAAGAAGAAACAAAATATGTTAAACCATTTAAAACTTGCAACATAAATGTACATATATTAAAATTTTATTTCTCCTGTTGCTAAAATTAAAATTTTATATTTTAAGATTTGTTATAATCAAAACAAAGCTAAAGACACAGTAATACTTCTGGAAGAGAATCTTGATCAAGAAACAAGGCACATTTTTTTTTTCAATTCAGTAGACGTATTTACTTACCTTTAGTAACTTGATTTCTCGCATAGCAATTTTTCTAACCATTTTGTCATCATCGCTTTCTAAGAACTTCTTGATGGCCACAATTCTTCCATTGTCTTTATTCCTACATTTCATCACCATTCCATAACTCCCTTCTCCAACCAATCCAAGATTCTCATATTTTTCCATTTTAATTTAAAACCAGTAGGAATTTTTCCTGCCGTGGAAATCAGAGCACAGAGTTAATGTTGAGCATATTAGTTTCTTCCACTCTCAGAAAATTAGTTCTTCCTGCTTGCTTTATTAGAGTAGTCATGTTCATGGCTATGAACACTATGAACACTATGTTCATGACTGTCTGTGCTAACTCAAGAATTCTTGATGCTTCCATATCTAGGGTATATTTTCAAAATAGGCACATGCAATTAGAATAGACAAGGTGAATGAACTGAAGCCATTAAATTTAAATTACTAAATATTGTATTAATGAAATTCAATGTATTTTAACTTATGTAAAGAAATAACTAAGCTATTATACAAAACATACAAAACATCATATTAAAAAAGTACAGTTTCATTGCATTCAAAGATGAGAAACAGCACAAGTATATTTGCTTTTAATCAAAATTTTCTAACCAAGTTTGCTTTCCCTAGTCTCCAGGCTATAAAACTACAGCTTAAAGGTGAACTCTACTAAACTCTAGGGTCAAGATAAGACGGGCAGGGCTGAGATGGTGGCTCAGTGGTAGAGTGCTTGCCTTGCATGCCTGAGGCCTTGGGTTCGATTCCTCAATACCACATAAGCAGAAAAAGCCAGAAGTGGCACTGTGGCTCAAGTGGTAGAGCGCTAGCCTTGGGCTGAAGAGCTGAGGGACAGCACCCAGGCCAAGAGTTCAGACCCCACGACTGCCCAAAAAAAACAAAAAGATAAGACAGGCAGTTGGATGCTGGTGGTGCATGCCTTAATCCTAGCTACTCAGGAGGCTGAGATCTGAGAACTGAAGTTCACAGCTAACATGAACAGGAAAGCCCCAGGGCTAACACCAAACAAAAATACACAGATAAACAATTTTAGAGTCACAAGTCTTTGAGTAGGGAATAATAGTCACTAGCTATGAGAGATGGAGAAATGAAAAAACAAAAACAAAACAACAACAATAAAAAAAACCTTTTTAATTTATGTTTTTATTTTTTTGCCAGGGCTTTTTTTTGCGTGTGTGCTGTCCCAGAGCTTTTGTGCTCAAAGCTAGTGTTCTATCATTTGAGCCACAGTTCTACTTCTGCCTTTTTGGTGGTTAATTGGAGATAAGAGTCTCACAGACTTCCTTGCCCAGGCTGACTTCAAACACTAATCCTCAGACCTTAGCATCCTGCGTAGTCAGGCTCAAAGATATGAGCCATCAACACCCAACACAAAGGAAACAAGAGATGTAGGATGAGATCACAATGTCTATGAGGGAAAATATTGTAATTAAACTTTTCAACTGAAGTGGCTCACCAAGGTCATGGAATGTCACAAGATGGTACATTGAAAACAGAACTAAACCTATTGAACTTGTTTTAAGAAGGAGGGGAAAGAGGAAGGAGTCAAAGGAGAGTGACAGAACTGGTGACACTAATTTGAATACATTGTATATGTATGAAACCCTCCCTTGTATAAGTAATACATGCTAATAAATGAGTCTTTTAGTACTCTATCCACCTAAGGATTCATGATAGACTTCATTCCAGCCTAAGGTGGATCAACAAATAGTTCTAAAACAACAGATCTTTAACTTCCCAGCCCAGGATATCATGCCTTAGAGGTCAAATATAATTCTATAAACCTCTCTTAACCATAGGACAGTGACTTTCCCCATGAACTTCCTGGGGAGGAACTTGACAATCCATACCTCTTACACTTTTAGCAAAAACTTTTGCTGAGGGGCTGGGAAGGTGACTCAGTGCTATAGTGCTTGCCTTGCATGCATGAGGCCCTGGGTTCCATTCCTTAGCACCACATAAGCAGAAAAAAGCTGGAAATGGCGCTGTGACTCAAGTGGTAGAGTGCCAGCCCTGAGCTGAAGAGCTGAGGGACAGTGCCCAGGCCCAGAGTTCAGGCCCCACGACCGGTTGGGGGGTCCAATCGGGGGGCTTGTGCTAAAGCAAAAGTCATTGTCATTCTCACCTTAAAGATGGCCACTTTCAGTCTATTTCAGTCTATTGAAACGTTATTCCTTTTCTAATAAACTGATCTATCCAGTTTTGTTTTGTTTTGTTGTTTTTTGTTTTGCCAGTCCTGGGGCTTGAACTCAGGGCCTGGGTGCTGTCCCTCAGCTCTTTAGCTCAAGGCTAGCGCTCTACCACTTGAGCCACAGCGCCACTTCCGGCTTTTTTTTTTTTTCTGCTTATGTGGTGCTGAGGAATTGAACCCAGGGCCTCTGGCATGCAAGGCAAGCGCTCTACCACTGAGCCACCTTCCCAGCCCTACATATCATTTTTTAAAAGATCAAATTTTTACACTAGGTTGAAAAGATATCCGTGTTAGAAATCCTTATGTACTTTCTACTCAATGGGGAAAAAAAAATCTGATCATAAAATAGCCACCTAACAAATGAACAGTGAATCTTTAATAACGTTTTCAAGCAATACTAATTACATTACTATGTTGAATTTACTTTTTAAAATAATAATAGTAAGATCATACCTGGGCACTGGTGGCTCATGCTTGTGATCCTAGCTCCTTAGGAGACTGAGATCTGAGATTTGTTGTTCGAAGCCAGCCTGGGCATGAAAGTCAGTGACTCATCTCCAAATAACCACCAAAAAAAGCTAGAAGTGTTGCTCTGGCTCAAGTGGCAAACCATCATCCTTGAACAAGAAAGCTCAAGGAGAGTACCGAACCTTGAGTTCAAGCCCCAAGACTGGTGCACACAAACACAAAAAGACCAATGACATCACAGTAAACTGGCATATTTTTTGTGTGTATGCTGGTCCTGGGGCTTGTACTCAGGAGCTGAGCACCATCCCTGAGGCTTTTTGCTTAAGGTTAGCATTCTATCACTTGAGACAAAGCTCTACTTTCAGCTTTTTGGTTTTGAGATGAGTCTCATGAATTTTCCTGTCTGGGATGGCTTCCTCTCAAGTGGCAGAGCACTAGTCTTGAGCTGAAGAGCTGAGGGACAGTGCCCAAGCCCAGAGTTCAGGACCCATGACTGGACCCAAAAAATAAAGAAAGAAAGAACCATGATCCTCAGGTCTCAGACACCTGAGTAGCTAGGATTTCAGGTTTGAGCTACCAATGCCTTATTCATAGGCATGTTTTTTTAAGAAATTAAATATTAATATCACCAAGTATAACATTCCAAAAAATCTTGGTAACTCCAGATACTCAAGGGGCAGAGATTAGAAAGATAGTCAGCCTGAGCCAAAAGTTATTCAAATCCTCATCTCAACCATAAAAGCTGGGTCTGGTGGTACATGCATATCAGTCCAGTTCTACTGCAGGTATAAATAGAAGGATCATGGTTCAGGCTTTCCCAGACATAAACTCAAGAACATATTAGACAAAATAAAGCAGAAAGATCTGGGGGAATTGCTCCAGTGCCTGTTTACCAAGTGCAATTTGGTCTTTTTGTTGGTGGTGGTCATGGGACTTGAACTCAGGGCCTGGCACTATCCCTGAGCTTTTTTGCTCAAGGCTAGCACTCTGCCACTTTGAGTCACAGCTCCACATCTAGTTTTCTAGTGGTTAATTGGAGATAAGAATCTTACTGAGGGCTGGGAAGGTGGCTTAGTGGTAGAGTGCTTGCCTAGCATGCATGAAGCCCTGGGTTCGATTCCTCAGTACCACATACATAGAAAAGCCTTAAGTAGCAGAAGTAGTGCTATGGCTTAAGTTGGTAGAGTGCTAGCCTTGAGTAAAAGAAGTTCAGGAACAGTGCTCAAGCCCTGACTTCAAGCCCAGGGACTGGGGGGGGGAGGGGGGGGGGAAGAGTTTCACTGATTTTTCTTCCCTGAGCACACTTTGACTCTGATCCTCAGATCTCAGCCTCCTGAGTAGGATTACAGGTGTGAGCCACCAGTACCCAGCTGCAATTTGGTCTGGTAACCTTAGTTCTACTAAGGGAAAAAAAAATCCTGTTAATGATTAATTATGAAAGTATGAACACTTGAAATTGTTGGTTATAATTCCTGAATTATAATTTCCTGAATAAAACCAATCACAATAGAATCTTGTTTTTCCAGTGGTTGACTATGTGTTTTGGAACAGGAAAAACATTATTTTCCGTCTGGGGATTCAGCTCAGTGGTTGGGTGTTTTTCATGTGTACATGGCCCAGCATACATTAGTTATACCAGGGAGGGTTTCACATGTATACAATGTATTTCAGTCTACCTTATACCTTGGTCCCCAGTACTGCAAATATATATCTGTGTATATGTGTGTATATATAAATATACATATATTTTATGTGTGTGTATATATACATATATACACTTATATACTTTTTCATAAACTTTGACTAGTACAATATATAAAAGCTATTAAACTATACCTTCAAAATTAAATTTATTGTTAAAATTTGATTTTCAGACTAAATTTCAGAAGCTATGAACAAAAAGAAAAAGAAAGTCAGGTGCCAGTGGCTCACACCTGTAATCCTAGCTACTCAAGAGGCTGAGACCTGAGGATCACAGTTCAAAGCCAGCCCAGGCAGGAAAGGCCATGAGACTCTTATCCTATTATCTCCAATAAACCACCAGAAAACTGGAAGTGGTGCTGTGGCTCAAGTGGTAGAGTGCTCTCCTTGAGCTGAAGAGCTTAGGGACAGCACCTAGGCCCAAAGTTCAAGCCCCAAGACTGACAAAAGAAGAAAAAAAGAAAAAAAATTTGCTTTAAATCCCACTGTGATTTCAATGATTTTAAAGAAAAATAAGTCTTTTGGTAACTTTATATTCAAATGATGACCCATAATATTCTTTAAACTTGAAAATATAGAAACATTCCTTTATGAAATGCTGAAAAGAAAAAAAAAATTCTTACCTATTGTGTTGATTGTGTACTGATGACAATCTAAAATTAATTTACCCAGATTGTGAATTGTGGTAATGTTTTACTTTCTTCTCTTATCGGTGCATTGATGACCTTATTATTCTCTTAGTTATAATAAACTGTGATAATCCAATATTTAAAGTATGTTTAGCACTTGTCTTTTAACAGTTTGAAGTTGAAGTTTTATTTTATTTTTTCAGTTGTGGAGCTTAAACTCTGGGCTAGGGCACTGTCCTTGAGCTCTTCAGCTTAAGGCAAGCACTCTACTGTTTGAGCCACAGCACCACTACCAGTTTTCTAGTGGTTTATTGGAGATAAGAGTCTCACGAGCCGGGCGCTGGTGGCTCACGCCTGTAATCCTAGCTACTCAGGAGGCTGAGATCTGAGGATCGCGGTTCAAAGCCAGCCCGGGCAGGAGAGACCGTGAGACTCCTATCTCCAATAAACCACCAGAAAACCGGAAGTGGAGCTGTAGCTCAAGTGGTAGAGCGCTCGCCTTGAGCTGAAGAGCTGAGGGACAGCACCCAGGCCCAGAGTTCAAGCCCCATGACCGACCAAAAAAAAAAAAAAAAGTCTCACAGACTTTCCTGTCCGGGCTGGCTTTGAACTGTGATCCTCAGATCTCAGCCTCCTGAGTAGCTACATTTACAGGCATGAGCCACTGGCGCCTGGCTTGAGGTTTTATTATATACATTATCTGTTTGTGTGCTGATGGGAATAGAACCCAAAGCCTCCACAGTGTGCTAAGCTAGGTGTTCTACCACTGAGTATACCCAGGAACCCTCCTCCCCTAAATACATATTGATAATATAGATATACACAGAACAACAGGTCTTTTTTCAGGGAAGGGGGAAATGAAAACAATTCCAATTAACACCAACTCAACTTATTTCATTATTGCAATCAACAGTTTTGATCATAGATTCTATTATAAACTATTTACATAGTGATATCCCAGACACAGCTTTCCACATATTTGACTTTTTTTGTTCTGTTCCAATACTTGGGGCTTGAATTCAGGACCTACACAGTGTTCCTTAGCGTTATTGCTCCGGGCTGGCACTTTACCACTTACTTGAGCCACAGCTCCACTTCTAGCTTTTTGGTGGTTAACTGGAGATAAGAGTCTCATGGACTTTCCTGCCTGGGCTAGGTTCTAACTGCTATCCCCAGATCTCAGTCTCCTGTGTGGCTAGGATTATAGGTATAAGCCATTGCTCCGGGCTGGCACTTTACCACTTACTTGAGCCACAGCTCCACTTCTAGCTTTTTGGTGGTTAACTGGAGATAAGAGTCTCATGGACTTTCCTGCCTGGGCTAGGTTCAAACTGCTATCCCCAGATCTCAGTCTCCTGTGTAGCTAGGATTATAGGTATAAGCCATGGGCACCCAGCTAAAACTTCAAATTTTAGTTAAAAAAAAATTTGAAAACATTCACAATGTTAACTCCATCTTTTTTCTTCTTTTTTCGTCCTTCTATTAAGAACTTCTAGGAAGGATCAGGCTTTAGGTTTGTCATACCCAATGACAAAAATAGCCAGAATTTCTAACCCAGAATTTAAAAAAAAATACTTTTGTAACTAGAAATTTGAAGATATAAAATGAATGAAATAAAAATTACCTGAAGCCTAAGGTGCTCTGCAGCGTATCACAAGCTAACATTGCACAAGGTGACTACTCCAAGTTTCTTTTCCCAACTAGGTGCACCTTTTGACACACCCCACTGAACACATCTGCTTATGCAAGCAGCTCTGCCCAGACATACCTTAAAAATACCACGGGCTACAAAATCCCTTGTTTCCTAAAACAGTTACTTATAAACTATTTCTTTCCAGTCCTTCTATTCCTCAACCTAAGAGTAACACAGAGTTTAAAAATAATCATCACGAAGCCTAGCCAGTTGGCACTTGTGATATTTGCGGAGATGTGTCGTGTGAGCATCTGATTCTAGCAACCAACAGTTTAGATAAAATACTTGGCTAATGGCCTTTTACAACGCAAAAAAAAATTTGCTGAAGACCGGTCGAGATCTTTTCTAAAGAAGAAGGTCATGGAAGCTTTTTTAAAGGACGATACTTACTGCTTCTTCAACTCCTTTTTCACATAGACAGAGCCAAAGGTTTTCAACTTGGAAACACATGCATCTCGTTGGCAGGTCAAAAAGACGCTGACTGGCAAACTGGCAGCTCCCCTGGGTTGAGATTTCCTCTGCGGATCAGTGACAGGTCCTAGAAGCAGCAGGCAGGGCGGCAGATGGGCCGCGGCCCTCCCTTGGCAAACTCACTATTCCGGGGACCAGGGGCCGCATGCTGTTGTCGTCAAGGCAACGGCCTCACTCGGTTCCCCAGCCACGGGTACGGTCCCCAGAGAGAGATGTGGTCCGAGCCAGAACGCGTGCAACGGCAGTCCCGAGCAGCAACACCTGTCCAGGCCAAGACCGGGGAGAAATTAGCTGGGCGGAGAGTACATCGCCTCCCTGCTCCGAAGCCGCCGCCCAGTCCGTGGAGCCTGGAAGCCGCACGCCTCCAGCTAGCTGGGCGGGGACGAAGGCGTTGGTCCGAGCTGCAAGGGGGCGGGTTCTCACCCGCCAGGTCCCGCCCCCCGCAGGCGCACCGGGCCTCCCTTGTTCTGATTGGCTGATCCCTGTCGTCAGGCGCCATAATTGGCTTATCGCCAAACGCCCCGCCCCTTTACCTGGGCCTGGACCCCAGGTTCTGTCAGCCGCCGCTCCGACCTTTGCTTCTCCGCCCACCCTCCCAACGTTCTCAAGTTGGAAGCGACCTCTGCCCCAGTCTGTGTGCAGATGGCGACTCAGGTGGCCTGGGCGGAGGTAAGGTGGCGGTGATGGAGGACCAAGAAGACTACGCAAAGAGCGCGATCCAGCGTTTGCCGCCGCTGGCGGCGGGGTGCGGGAACCAGGGAAGCTGGGCCCAAGCGCGGTGGGGCGCGCTTCCTTCCTTTCCATTCTAGGTGCTGGGGCTGATCGGGCCTGGGGGGAGACCGAGGTAACTAGGAAGTCACTCGTAGGGGAAGCAGCTGACAGCCCTGATGTTCACCGGGACCTTTGGGGTAGAAATCAAGAAAGGGGAAGGGAGGGCATAAACGAACAGGGAACGCACGTGCCGGGATGAGTGTCCAGAATGGGGCTTCCTGAAGCCAGGCGGGGTGGAGTTGGGGCTTACTGGATGTAAAGCTTGCCTTACTGGGCTGAAGGCCTGAAGCTTCTGCCTCGCAAGCCCTCAGCTCACACACACACATTTGCCTTACATTTTGCAATCCACAACATCTGTGATGGGCCTGACCGGCAAGGCTGACGGTTATCTGGCAGAGATTGACGTCTCGGGGCATCTGAGACTGAAACAGCAGTTATTTTCATTTTCATTCAGTACCTATACATTTTAGATTTAGTTGCTAAAATACCTTGAGGCAAGAAAGTGTCCTGGACAGCTGACATTTATACCCATTATTTTCTAATAGAAACCATAAATGGTTCTTCATAAGTCATTCTCTGCATTGTTTTTGGCTGCCAAAAACAATGTACTTGAGCCCTTTTTCTTGCCTTGCTACCCTCCTCCCTCACAAAAAAAAAAAAAAGCCGGTCACCGGTGGCTCAAGCCTGTAATCCTAGCTACTCAGGAGGCTGAGATCAGGGTTCAAAGCCAGCCCAGGCAGGAAAGTCCAATAAACCACTAGAAAACCAGAAGTGGCGCTGTGGCTCAAGTTCTTGTGTGCCCAGTCCCTAAGCTCAACCAACACAGTATTGGACTAGAGATATAGCTCAAGTAGAGTAACAGGGCTGGGAAGGTAACTCAGTGGTAGAGTGCTTGCCTAACATGCATGAGGCCCTGGGTTCGATTCCTCAGCACCACATAAGCAGAAAAAGCCGGAAGTGGCACTGTGGCTCAAGTGGTAGAGCACTAGCCTTGAGCTGAAGAGATGAGGGGCAGCGCCCAGGCCAAGTTCAAGCCCCACGACCAATTAAAAAAAAAAAAAAAATAGAGTGCCACCAGCTGTAAGCAAGAAAGCTGAACCCTTGAGCTCAGCCTGGGCACCAGCCCATGCACACACTAAGTAGATTTGAAATGTTACCACTTATTTTGCCAAGTTCAGCATAAACTATGTCCTGACTGCTGGTCAGCAACACATCTACATTAACACATGCGAATGCATTCCTTAAATATTAAAATTATGTGGTTTTGCACTGCTACCAAGCCTCTTATAATTTTCCCTCTGGCTTCTCATTCTGGACCAAAACTACACAAGTTTTAGAAGATCAAAAGGATACTCCCCAACACAAAATGGATGATCCCACTATGTATTTAGCCTTTAAAAATATCTTGTTTTGATGGGAACAAACCATTAAATGTTTATCAGATTATTTGTTGAGCATCTTTGTTTTGGGCCTGATTTTGATGTTGAGGGGACATGAATGAAAATAGATGGATTAGCTAAGCACTGGTGGCTCACGCTTGTAACCCTAGCTGCTCAGGAGGCTGAGATCTGAGGATCATTGAAGCCATGCCTGGCAGGAAAGTCTGAGACTCTTTTCTAATGAACCCCCAAGAAGCTGGTAGTGGAGCTGTGGCTCACGTGATAGAGCACTAGACTTGGGCAAAAAAAAACCTTGGGGATGGTGCTCAGGCTCTAGGTTCAAGGCCCAGGTTCCCTTCCGTCCCCCAACAAAAGGGATGGACTAGGCTCTTGGTCTTCCAGCACTTTTTACTTGGTAATACTGAAGTAGTTCAAATACTATACAAAGCATTAAAGTAAAAGTGGAGCACTTCAGGCAATTGTTCTAAGACGCCCTTTCTGGAATTGATATGCAGGAGTATTCTATCAAGAGTAGGTACTAGCTAAGGCAAAGCTAGAGGGCTGGGAATATGGCTTAGTAGTAGACTGCTTCCTTAGCATGCCTGAAGCCCTGGGTTCGATTCCTCAGTACCATATAAAGAGGAAAAGCCAGAGGTGGTGGCTCAAGTGGTAGAGTGCTAGTCTTAAGCAAAAGGTCGGCCTGAGTTCAAGCCCCAGGACTGTTCTCCCTCCTCCCCCCTGAAAAAAAACATACACACAAAAACTTGGAGGTTAAGTAACTGGAGAAGTCACTGGTGTAAGTAGAGTGAACTAAGGAATGGTAAATGTAGTTGTTCATGGAGATAGAAGAGAAAGGGGCTAGATCCGATGAGGTCATTAGCCAGTGGGAAGAGATGAATATTTGGATTTTGTTATTAGCATAGGAAACATTTAATAAAATACAATGCCGTATTGATACTATGCCAGGTGAAGACAGAAGTATAAGTGGGAGGCTGGTAGTTCAGGACTAGGAAAGAAATCTAGGAAAGAAAAGTGCTGTCTGAAGGCCAGCTCCTAAGCTATTGACTAAGCCAGTGAGTCTGAGGCTCGGAACTATATTCACTGAAGTTTAAAACATTTCAAGTACTGGATTAGTCAAGTACTGGTCTACTTTGAAGAGACTATAAGGTGAATCTCAAGATGAGTTACTTATGGAAACTAGATTTTAAACACCAGAAATCAGGAATTTAAACTACAATGTATTTTTAGCCTGATTTTATTTTTAGAAAACTGTAAAATCACAGCCTCTATCACTAACAGGTCTGAATTTGTGGATCCCCTTTCTCAGAATTTAAGATACGTTTAGGAAGCATTACTTAATGCTTTAAATGAGATAGATTTGGAACAAATTAACTGGACTGCTATTTATACTGCAGAAAAAGGTTTGGGTTCTGTCATTGTGCATACATTCTATCTTTTAATCTGATAACACCATTAGGTGTTATGAATTAAAGCTTAGGTTCAAAACCTCATTGAAGGCAGCAAATAAGCCACCCACATAGGAAAACTGCCACAGATACCTTTGGTAGGTCTTGGTAAGTTGCTATGAACTATCCTAATGATGCCCAAGAGAGGACTGGAGGTAAGAAATGGGGCAGGGCTGTCCTAGATGATCAAGATCCATTTATGCCTCTTCAATGATGGGATGACAGAATGCCACCAGACCATACCCAGCTTAATGGTAGAGATGACATACAGGCAATTTTGCCCTAGTTGGCCTCAAACTGAAATCTTCCCCATCTGACTCTCAAGTAGCTGGGATTTACCTGTGTAACCCACCACACCCAATGCTTTGGTCCTTTTCATCTGTCTAAACCTTGTTTAACATATTCTATATTAAATATATATATATATGTATGTATGTATATGTGTGTGTGTGGCACTTAAAACTCAAGTTAAATGAGAGTAACCTTGAATATAGATAATGGAGAAGGGAAACAAAAAAAGATGAGAATAGCAGATGGAACTTCAAACATTGCTAGGCTGATTACACATATCACAGACAAGTTCATTACTAAAGAGTCAGGTATACAACAGGTAAGTTACATAGGAAAAAAACTTGAACTTCCTCATTTTACCTAGTGCTTCCAAGGTGATGTAGCCAAGAGACGTTTGTAAAACAAGCTACACTGAAATACAATTGTCAGTAACAGCTCTAACAGACATGCTTCTCATTTTACAGATGAGGAAAGAGGCACAGGAAAGGATTCACCACTAAATGGGTGAGGCTGCCATTCAAACCCATTGGAAGCTGTGCTCTTGACCATCTATCTTGTGACATTAAAGGAACAATATATTGAAGCATCTCCTAAGGAGTTTGTGGGGAAACTCCTTAAAAGTGTTAGGGTATGGATGGGTGGCAAAAAATAAAGAATATTGAACTTCTCTTTTGTGAATGTACTTCAAGAAAACAGAGCCTTTTAACAAAATTCTAGAATCAAGAGATCGGCTAATGTGGCAATTTACAGAATTGTCTATGGAAATTTGAACTTGCACTTGCATTATTTTCTCAAGCACTGAGAAATCAGAATGCTGCTTTTAACAAATTTCAAATAGGGTGCTTGGGTCTTACACCTATAATCCTAACTACTCATGAGGGTGAGATCAAAAACCCAGAAACAGAGCTACAGGCTCAAGTGGTGGGCACCAATCTTTAGCAAAAAACCCAAGCAAAAGTTTGACACTGAGTTCAAGCTCCAATACAGGCACACAAGACATACCCTCACAAAATCCTTAAACAAATTTAACTTGCTTGAATCTTGATCTGTTTTCACTAGTCTAGGAATGTATTTTAACCTCTGTAACAAATATTTTTCCACAGCCATAAAGTTTTAAGATATTCCATTGCAATTGAGCTTAATATACAGCACAGCCATAAAGTTTTAAGATATTCCATTGCAATTGAGCTTAATATACATCTACAAAATGTGTTAGTTCCTTAATATTATTCAATGGTTGCTGGTGGCTCATGCCTTTAAGTCCTAGCTACTCAGGAGGCTGAGATCTGAGTGTCACAATTTCCAGTCAGCCCAGGTAGGTCAAGTCCTTGAGACTAGTTATTTACAATTAACCACCAAAGAACCCAAAAGCTCCAATTTCTCTCCCAAGACAGACAAATGGGTAGATTAATTTAGGAATCTTATCACAAAATGTTTAATTTTTTTGTGTGTGTGCCAGTGCTGGGGCTTGAACTAGGGACAAGGGGGTTGTCTTTGAGTGCAAACTTTTTCTCCCCAGGCTGGCTTCAAATTGTGGTCTTGTCCTTAGATCTCAGCCTCCTGAGTAGTTAGGATTACAGGTGTGAGCCACCAGGGCCCAGCTCTTAGTATTATAATACATGATAAAATTGGTTTTTCCTAATCCATAATTTCAGATAATCTCAATCGCTACATGTTTTTTGTTCCTTCTGAGATAACCCCTTACAAAACTCAAGGTCTGGGCCTATAATACCAGAATTTAAGGCAAAGACAGGAGGATCCCAAGTTCAAAGCCAGCCTAGGTAGTACAGTGTAAGACCTTGTCTTGAAAACAAAACAACCAATTTCCTCTACTTCCCAGACCTCCACAATTTAGAGGTTATGCTTTAGATCACTCTCCACCCTTACAATGTCCTCTTCTAAATTTATTTACCTGATAAATCAGCTATCTTCCGGTCCTGAAAATGATCTCTATAACTATGTTTGTTACTCTAATGTTTTGCTTTGTAAAACTAATGTCACAATTATATATATAAATTTGGGGGGGGAGGGGGGGGGGGGAGAAGGGTCAGTCAAGGGGCTTGAACTCTGGGCCTGGGCGCTGTCCTTCACCTCTTCAGCTCAAGGTGAGTGCTCTACCATTTGAGCCACAGCACCACTTACAATTTCTTGAGTTTATTGGAGTCTCACAGACTTTTCCTGCCCAGGCTGGCTTTGAACCGAGATCCTTCAGATCTCAGTCTTCTGAATAGCTAGGATTACAGGCGTGAACCACTGATGCCCAGCTATAAGTAATATTTTTATCAGGCTGTATAAAATACAACAGGGAAAAAAAGTTTGGGAACAAAACTAGATTAAATTAGGGACATAGATAAATGCTGCAGACATCAGTAGTTTATTGTTTAGTCCAAACACATTCAAAATGGAAACTCAAAAGAATACTTTCCACCTGGAACAAACTAGATTCTACTAGCATATAATGCTTAACACATTACAGCAATAAAGATGGTAATCCATTGTCTTCTATACCTACTAAAGCCAAGATGGTAAAGCCAATTTGGTTGCAATAGTGTTGTAAGGATAGAATATTACCATCAAAACATAAAATAAAATCAGCAATTAACAGTAAATGGTGAATGAACATTTTACTGTTTCACTAAAAAGGGGACAAAATGTTAAAAGTCCACAGTACTGCAGGTGAGCAATCACCATGTAAACTTCTCCATACAATGTTTTAAATGGTTCATTTGTGGTATTGTAAGACTGAAGCTGAATGGCTCTTTGCTCTAATTTTCTATTACACTTAACATTTGTCATTTCTTTTGGTGCCAGACAATTTTCATGGGTTACAGGGCAATATCCTGGATTGGAAATGTGTGTGTATGTGTGTGCATGTTTATGGGCACTTACACATACATACACATGGAGAGCATATATATATATATATATATATATATATATATATATATATATATATATAGTGAGAATAGAGGAAATACACATTTGGGGACCAAGGGGGAAACACTGACAATAAAACCACTTCTTTAAAAGTAGTTTGGCTAAAAGCTTCAACTCCAAAGTAATTTTCTAGTAAGAATTTCAAGTACTATACATCAGAAAATGTAAAACTGTTTCAAACAAACAAACAAATAAAAAATCCAACCCCCATGAAAACTACAAAAATCTGTGTCCCCAAAATATATGCAATAGTGCAAGACTTTTCCTCAGACATGGAAGACCTCATTTGAGAGGAAGGAAAAAACAAGTAAGATTTAGTTTTACTCATACTGCCCAGTTCATAATAAAGAAAATACACGAGTCATTTGCTAGTTTACTAAATAGCAAACAGTTGCATAATTCCAAACCAATTTGCTACTATTGTGTCAAGCACATATTTTGCTTGTTTTTACTAAGATTAGAATGGAGAAGTCTTCCATGCTAACAAGCAGCTTTAAGTGGTCACACTTACTTATCCCACTTCTTGCCAAAACATCAGAACCTGGTATGTTACTGATTGCTCCAAGCACAGAACTGAATGAACTCTGCCATACTTGTGGGTTTACTGGTTCATGTTATAAAGACAGACAACAATCCAGCAGCTACAAACTTTGCTCACAGAATTGTTTAAAGATTCATGTAAAAAATAAAAAAGTTGTCTTCCCAGACTTAAATTCAGGAGCCACTCAGGTGCTGACATCAGTTCAAGAATTGTGCAAAATGAATGACAGTTCCCTGCCCCCCCCCACATAAAAAATGCAAACACTTAAGAGCTGCCTTTCTTTCCTCTGAAAATTGCAGTATCCTTACTTCAGGTTTACTTGCCATTTATAGAATCTCAAATGCTTTTAAAAATGTCATTAAAAATGTACATCAAGTTGATGACTTTTCCAAGCACATTCACAGGTACCAAGAGGAAAGTCAACTGGAGATTTAAGTACCTGACTTCCTCCTTCCCTCTGCTTCCCAAACACACAAGACTCCCGCCCACAGAAAATACAAAAGTTGTTAACTGAAGAACAAGATAAATAATTGGCCTCGATTTTACTGATTTTAACGATACTGCAATTTTTATACATTCCAATGATTTTTTTCAACATTTTGCAGCTGTTTGGCTTTGCAGCACAGCAATCATAAACTATACTGTACAAAATTACCAGCAAGACTGGAATGATGTATTAATAGAAGGCACCATCATGCTTATTACATTACCAGAGAACAAAAATACAGGAAAGACAATTTTCACTGTACACAGCTTAAAGGAAAAGGGGGAGGAGGAGTATGTTGAGGAGCCAGCCATCCCTGTACTGAAGAGGGGCAGGTAGAAAACTCTTTAAGATTTGGAGCTACGAAATCTGGTCTAATGTTCAAGACCATAGCATTTGAAGTTCTGATTTTTGTTATTTAGTTCGTAACTAAATGATTTCCTTCTGGAATATAATTGTAGTCTTGTTAAGGTATATGTGTACACACGCTGGTTGCACAGCAAGCAGATAAAATGCCCTCATCTTTCACAACTATTCTCTACTCAAAAAGATGAAGAAAGATTTTTTTTTCCCTGTTGCCTCCTGTTGCAGATGTCAATGTTAATGAGTTCAGAGTACCCAATAGTGCATTTTGATGAGTGCATAACAAGTTTCTGTTGGTTTGTATTTTGGGGGGAAGCCAAGAAAAAAGGCAAGGTTCTCCAATTGCACAAATTGCACTATTTGTGTTTCCAACATTAATAGGCAGAAACAGTAACACTTAAACAAAATGTGCAGCAGAGAATATTTTTACACTCAAAGGACCTGAATTCAGTGGGCATGTCCTTTTAAGTTCATTTTGTTGTAGATACTTTAAGATATGGTCATTTCTCAGTCCTTAATTCTTCAAGTCTAGATTTATAAATTAACAATGTGAATCCTGTTGTGAAATTGGGGAAATAATGTCCACCTCAATTTAACTGATAACCAAAGATGCTTTTCACATCAAAGAAATGATCAAAAAGGCTGTGTCACATTCCAAAGCCAAAAAAAATTAACAAGAATGCAAACACGATGAGTAATGTACCACTGCCAAGACTTTGCCAACAGTGGAGCTTCAACGACGCTGTCCTGTGAAGCGGCCTTCCATTTGCCCGGCTCCTCTTCCAGAGCCAAGTTTCTGTGCCATGCCACCTCTTGGAGGTGGTCCTCTTCCATCACGGTCACGCATCATTCCACCACCCACAATTCCACGTGGGCCACCAGGACCTCGATCACTGCGCCTAATATCTCTGCGGTCGTCACCACCACCTCTGGTTTCTCGTTCTCTTGCAGCCCTTGTTTTCTTCTCTTCCACATTCAAACGTACCTCTCCTCGAAACATAATTGGCTTTAAAAGAGAAAAACATCAACATGAACAGTTAGAAAACCTTAAGAAATAAGAACATTTTGATGAATCTCTTAATGTTATCTTTCCAACCTTCAACACAAATAAAATTTAAAATGATCCACACTTGACTTTTAATATTAGTAAATCTTTATTCTTTGCATAAATACCATTCCCCTCCACAATGAACTATTTTTAGCTTTACCACTAAAAAAAATTTTCTATGGTTTTTAAAAATGTACCATTATTATTATATACAACAGAAATAGTAAGGTCTTTGAGTTATGCCCTTTACATCACTTACTTTTGCAATTAAGATTCTCTGAACTGGTTCAGAGTCATCAAAAACCACAAAACCAAAATTTGGAAGCTTTCCCCCAACACCCTTGGTATTGATGCGAAGTTCCACAACGTTTCCAAAACCTGTGAAAATATACATTACACCAAGTGTTAAATATTTTAACAATTCAGAACTCTGATGACTTTAATTGTTCAGGATGAATAACTTTAATGTCCTGGATCCATTTGAAAACAAAGTTGTGAACTGCTACATCCAGTAACAACATACATTAACTTATGTAGGCCACCACCTCAGAAATCAAGCAACTGATCAGAATATTTGTTTTGCTTTCATTATTTTTTTCGTCAGTTGTGGGGCTTGAACTCTGGGCCTGGATGCTGTCCCTGAGCTCTTCCTAGAGCTGTATCAATTAAGCTACAGTGCCACTTCTGGTTCTCAGCCTCCTGAGTAGCTAGGATTACAGGCGTGAGCCACCGGTGCCAGGCTATCTTTCATTATATTAATCCCTACCTAAAAGGAAGTTACCTGCCAAGTTTTAGAAAGACAACTTATCTCCATCTAATCTTCAGTTCTACTTGCCAAAGTAGTCCTATTCCCCAGTTTAAGACTGATTCATTCAGCCTTTTACAGAAATCTCTCCTGAGCTAGATTAGGCCAACATTGGGAAATAATTTGTCATTTATTTCCTTCTGACCAATTAAAGTGGTACTGGTAGGGCACAGAAAATAAAGAGATAAACATATTTAAAAATTGGTTCTATACTACTCCTGCTTAATACAAGATAAATTTTAAAGCTTCATATAAAAACAAACCACTTACTCATAAAAAATTCTTTCAGTTCATTTTCATCAATATCATGTGGCAAGTTACCAACAAAAAGTTGATGACTGTCTGGGTAGCGGATTATTCTACGGTTGTCCGAGTCGTTCTGCTCCATATCTCCTCTGCCTGAGAACAGGAATAAATAACACCATATAAAAAATAATTCAAAGCTGAACTCACCAATCTGAACAGAGGGGCAGGGCTTGATGCATTAGGAAATAGTCTGCCTATATGCTTACCAGATAGTTTGGCTGATGGTGCACGCACCCTTTTGCAAAATTTTGCCTTGCTGAGACAAAAAAGTAATTCAAAGTAATGAATGGTTAAAAAAAAAAAAAAATACTGATATGTTTTACTTTAATAAGGACAGATGAACTGGAAGTGGCTAGTAGGTTGTCAAAAAATAAGGCTGTGGTCTCTTCTGGACCTGTCTTATAAAAGTCGGTATAGACTGGGCACCGGTGGGCTTATAATCCTACCTACTCAGGAGGCTTGAGATCTGAGGATCACAGTTCAAAGCCAGCCCAGGCAGAAAATTCCGTGAGACTCTGATCTCCAATAAACTACTAAAAAACCACAAGTGGCGCTGTGGCTCAAGAGGTAGAACGCTCTCCTTGAGCTGAAGAGCACAAGGACAGCACCCAAGCCCAGAGTTCAAGCCCCATGACTGACAAAAAAAATAATTAAAAGTCGGTATAGGTAACCCTCTTTACCCAAACTGCTACCATCATCCAGGTGCCAAGTAGGCTTCAACTACTAAATATTTGTTTAGCCTCTTGAAACTCAAAAACTAGATTATCTTTTTAACACTATAACCAATCAGACAAACCAGCAAATTTAACAATATCAATCTCATGTTGTAGTTTTTAGGATACACTCACATATGAATGTTACTGATTCTCCTCCAAAACACAGGCAGCATAATAATGTAAGATAGGCACCACATAAAAAAAAAGTTTTCTTTACTGAATGGCATACAAGGTCTTACACATGATCACAAACACAGTCAGTGGCAAAGCTAGAAAAGAATTCCAGCTTCTGTGACTTCTAGTTTAGAAAAACTATGGGGTTTTTTTGGTATAGTGAAATCCTGAAATTTGTTGTATATTACTTCCTATATCCTTTTTTTTTTTTTTTTTTTTTTTTTGGTTCGGTCATGGGGCTTGAACTCTGGGCCTGGGCACTCTCCCTGCGCTCTTCAGCTCAAGGCAAGCACTCTACCTCTTGAGCCACAGCGCCACTTCCGGTTTTCTAGTTTTTTATTAGAGATAAGAGTCTCACGGACTTTCCTGCCCAGGCTGGCTTTCAACTGTTATCCTCAGATCTCAGTCTCCTGAGAGCTAGGATTACAGGCATGAGCCACCGGCGCTCCGCTCCCATATCTTCTTGAAAGCAATTTGAACAGAATTCAAGTGAAAGTACTCCATAAATTAGCTTAACAATGTAAGTCAACTTAATATTGTGGCAACTTAATGCATAAGATCAAAATAAGAAAGGTCTGCCAGGAGCCAATGGCTCACATCTGTAATCCTAGCTTCTCAGGAGACTGAGGTCTCAGGATCACAGTTCAAAGCCAACCAAGGCAGGAAAGTCCTCCTTGAGACTCTTATCTTCAATTGACCACCAGAAAGCTACAAGTGGTATTGTGGTTCAAGTGGTCTAGAGTGCTAGCCTGAGCAAAAGAGCTCAGTGACAGTGCCTAGGCCTTGAGTTCAAACTCCAAGACCAACCCAAAAAAGGGGGGGATCTTATCTGTAAAAAGAATACTATGTAGGTTATAGACAGCTCAGACTTAGAACTAGTGACAATAACCAAATAAAATGTCTCCATCTTTTATGCCTTTAAAATACATGTCAATATGGCGTATCAACAAATCTCCTGATGCAGCTGTTCTGCTCCATAACTGTCTTTTCAGCATGTTGCTCACATCTCAAACATTTGAGGATGCTGCAAAGATCTGTTTATAAACCAGTATAGTTTTGTGAAGTTTAGTCTCTTCCAATTTTCCAAGTGCTAAATGCTAAAGGCTTATAAAGGAGCTACCAACTCACCTGGTCTTGGTCCTCTAGGAGGGAAACCAGGTCGCTCCCTAGGCCGCTGTTCACGGACTCGTGGTGGCTGAGATTGAACTTCTGGTTTAGCTTCAACTCTTGGCTAGAATACAAGGGGAAAAGCACATTATAAAACATTCTACAGAAAAAAACAAAATGACTATCAGCAAGTCATTAGCAGGGATAACAAATTTTAAGTTTACAATGTTTCTTAACAAAATTCTATATATGTGAATTTTTAAAAATATTCTGTACCAATATAGGACTGTAGGGTAGGTTTTATTTTCCCATTAAAGGCTCTATAATTCACTATAAACTGCTCTTAATAATCTCATTTTCATTAAAGTTGCACCTATAGTGAAATAGCATAAAAGGTATTGCTACAAAAGAAAAAAACCACAAAAATGCAAGATGAGCCACTGCACATAAACAAAATTAAAAACTATCTTAGAAAAAAAAGAATAAAAGACACATAATTTCTAGTTTGCTGTCCTTCAGATGTTATGCGCTCAGTTTTATCTCCTAACCCAACCCCATAATCTCAAAATTATTATCTTAATAATTCGAAGTATATAAGAGTATTCTACCTCTAGGTTTGAAAGCATATAAAGTGAAGTTCCTATGTGGCATCTCAAATAGTTGAGAAAATCCTTTAAATTCCTATTATTTCTACTTACATTTTCTACTTACAAGAAAGATGTACATTTATTTAAAGTATTGACCCCAACAATTTTCCTTAACTGTGAGCGGGTAGATGAGAATAACTGAATAGTTTGGTCTGCCAAACTGTACTAATACAACACATAATTACTTTCAAACAAAATATTATTATGTATGTCTGCTAATATGTTATTCTTTAGTAGAGCAGTATTTTCAGTGTTTCCAACCTTTCCAGGCTTCTAATAAGACAAAATGAATGAATCAATCTTCAATGATTGGGAGAGGTGGGAGGACAGACAACAGTAGGACACAGAGAACATGTCCTTGAAGGAAAGAGCTAGTAAACCTATTTCTCTTTGTGTGTGTCCGTGTGCGCATGAGCACGCACACACAAACTCGGCACTCACACACATGTAAACCAGTAAAAAGGCTTGAACTCGGGCTTGGTGCTATTAGCCCTGAACTTGTTTGTTCCAGACTAGCTTTCTATCACTTGAGCCACCACTCTACTTTTGGCTTTTTGGTGATTAATTGGAGATAAGGATCTCAAGGATTTCCCTGCCCAGGCTGGCTGCAATCTCAATCTTCAAATCTCAGTCTCCAGGGTAGCTAGGCTATATTATAGGCATGACCCACCAGCACCCAGCAGTAAACTTAGTCTTTGTAAGTAATAAATCATCTCTAAAAGGTTTAATGGCTCAAACTCAATTATTACTAATATAGCTGAGATATTTTAACTTATAAGAATAAATAAATCTGGACCAAAAAGTATAGGTCCTTAAAAAAACAAAGACCATTTATTGTCAACAATTTCAACCAGTGTAACCTAAAATCTATCAAATGTTCAATGTTATACTTGCAGTTTAACAAAATTGCCTGCAATATAAATGTCCCATTCTCACTTAAGATGAAATTGTTTCCCATGTCATAGAATTCTGCTAGTTTATTGTTTTTGTTTTTGGGTCCAGTCGTGGGGCTTGAACTCTGGACCTGGGCGTTGTCCCTCAGCTCTTCGGCTCAAGGCTAGCGCTCTACCACTTGAGCCACAGCACCACTTCTGGCTTTTTTTTTCTTTTTGCTTATATGGTGCTGGGGAATTGAACCCAGGGCCTCATGCATGCAAGGTAAGCACTCAACCACTGAGCCACCATCCCAGCCCAAATTCTGCTAGTTTAAAAATGAATTTTGCCCAGCACTGGTGGCTCACACCTGTAATCCTAGCCTATAATCTCGGGAGGCTGAGATATGAGGATTGCAGTTCAAAGCCCTAGGCAGGGGGGGAAAAAAAAACCTATGAGCTTTCTCTATTGAGCAAAAACCTCGGACAGGGCAGGACTCAGGCCCTATGTTCAAGCCCCAGTACTGGCAACCACTCCCAAAAAATACATGAACACATATACACATATATGTAGTATATTATTTAGATGAACCCATACATATGTAATTTAAAATAACCAAAAAACTGCTGAATATGTATGTCTAAGAGCACAGTTTCTTTGGCTGATGCAAAAAGGAATAGGGTTTTTATAGGAATGTACACAAATATCAGACTACCTTCTTTGTTTGTAGTGTATATGCATGCCCTAGTACTGGGGCTTCAGATCAGAGCCTCACTCTTTCCCTCAGCATTTTTACTTGTGGCTAGCTCCACACCACTTCCAGTTTCAACTTTTTGCTGATTAATAGGAGATAGCTATTTCATAGTTTTGTCTTTCTGGGCTGGCTTTGAACTGTGTTCCTCGGATCTCCGTCTCCTAAGTAGGAGTATAGGCATGAACCTGTGGTGCCTCCTCACCTTGAGGGTGTCTGTCATAGGGCTTGAACTAAGAGCCTGGGTGCTATCTGTAAGTTCTTTCACTTAAAGTTAGTACTCTACCACTTTAAACCACAGAGCCATTTCCAGTTTTCTGAGTAGCTAGGATTACAGGTATGCACCCTGGCACTCAGCAAATTTTTATTAGTTTTCTGAGCCAAAACATGTAGGAGAATATTGTCTGAAAGGAGACCTAATGACAGCCCCTAGACCTCTGCTATATGAATTTGTAGGTTGATGCTACAGAATTGACACAAAAGTTGATACCTTTTGAGAATGGCAATTATTTAGAAATTTTAAGTAAGTCTAAAAGTGTACCATACTTCAACAAGAAAATGAATAGAAGCACTATTACACAGCTTAATAAAGCTAGTATATTATGTGACTGTAACGCCTCTGTACATCACCTTTATAATAACAATTTAAAAATTAAAAATAAAGCTAGTACATAACTGGGAATTTTTTAAAATTGCAACTATAACTTATACTTTAAAATTAAAAAAAAAAAAAAACCCTTAGAACCAACTCAAATTTTAACAAAGAACTTGAGGGACCTGATCTTGACAAATTTATGTTCTTTTTTTTTTTTTTTTTTTTTGGGGGGGGGGGGGGTGTCAGTTGTGGGGCTAGAACTCTGGGCCTGAGCACAGTCCCTGAGATCTTCAGCTCAAGGCGAGAGCTCTACCACTGGAGCCTCAATGCTCCAGTTTTCTGGTGGTTAACTGGAGAAGAGTCTCACAGACTTTCCTGCCTGGGCTGGCGGTGAATCGCGATCCTCAGATCTGAGCCTCCTGAATAGCTAGGATTACGTAAAAGCATGAACCACCAGTGCCTGGCTCAAATTTATATTCTTTACAGAACAATTATCAAAATAAACTATAAAGTCTTAAGAATTCACAATCAGATAAAGAATTTCTAACACCTTACAAATAATTCGTAACATTCTTTAGAAACCTCATTTTTCTAAGTCTGATGATGCCACTACATAAAAAATGTAAGACCAAAAAGCTATCAATGTTTCCTTCACTAACTGGTAAAAGTCCACTAAGCCAGGCCCAATGACTCACAGTATTCTAAACAAATTAAAATTAATTCATCTAACCAGCAAGTTTATTTTAACCTCATGACAAATCCCACAAATGAATGTCAAACAGAATATGAAGTAAAAATGAAACTTTCAAATAGTAATAAAAGCAGGTAAACAAATTACGAACAAATCTCTCAATAAACAAGGTATTTAAAAATGAGCTCATTTCCAGACAAAAACTACTTTATTGAGAAATAACTTACCTACATCTACATTAATGCCTACCAATAACCTAGAATTAGAATCCTGTTTAAATAAATAACCTATTAATGTGTAAGGAAACAAATGCTTTTCAAAAGTTAGCAAAATAAACTTTCAAAAGAGTTATTCAACCAAGTAGAAATATCATGAATTTATTCTAAATACAATAAAGAGATCAGAAAGTTCCTTGAAAGTTTACTACAAAGATTTTAAATTTCATTTTCTTAAGGAGTGGAGTGGGATATACAAACTACTTTCCTAGAATTTTAAAAGTAACTCAAAAAATACTTGTAACTTAAGATACAAATACTTATTTTCCCAGATAAGAGGCTACTTAATGTATAGCTTAGTCATGCATTTAATGTAGTACATTTTTTGATGTTGACTAAATACAGGTAGACATATATATTACCCTCCACCAAACACTAAAGAAATGTGTAGGTTTGCACTCAGAAGTGTTCTATATAACTATATAAATGCAAAAGCCGGATCTAAATTTTGACAGTCTGACCATGAATGAGTTATTCTAGGCCTCAATCTTCCTCTTTTTTTTTTTTTTTTTTGCTTATGTGGTGCTGAGGAATCAAACCCAGGGCCTCATGCAAGGTAAGCGCTCTGCCACTGAGCCACCTTCCCAGCCCTATCAATCTTCCTATCTCTAAATGGAATATTAACAGTCCCCACAGGAACTCATACAGGGTGGTTTTAAGGAACCAATGAGAATGACTATCAGTATGTAGGCACAATGCCTGGCACACAAAAGGCTTAATAACCATTAGCTATTTAACTTTTTAAAATAAATGCCATCTTTTTTTTTTAATGAAATAGCAATCCAAAACTGATAGGAAATCAAGATTTCAAAAGGAAAGCCATGAAAGTCAGTAATCATGTCTCTGGATAGTTGAAAAGCACTAATGACACTACACAAGCAAATTTTCTTACTTAAAATGAAACTAGTTTGTAATCTAAGGTAATCACACTCATTAAAATACCTGACAAAAACAGGCATTATATCACCATGCACTCTGTTCTGATTATAATGTATACAATAACCAGGACTCTATGTAGTAATTACTTTTGAAACCTCAATGTATTACTAGTTTCAGAGCATGCAAAAGATGTATTCACTACCATATTAAGTGTAAATTTAAATGAAATGAAGTTTAACTCAAAAGGTAGAGAAAAAGTATTGGATACCCTTTATGCCAAGAAACTTACTTAAAATTTAATCTAAACTATATCTAACATTGTAAATAGCCAGTGCCATATTTTCACATTCTTGGAAAGCTCTGTAATGGGTTAAGATGACAAACAGACAAAAAGCAGAATACTGGAATGGTAAGTTAAGGTGAACACTACAGTCATAAGTTGGTACAGGCTTCAACTAAATGGTACAAACCACTTATGGACAGAGCTTAGGCAATGTATGTATATATATATATATGTATATTTTTATGTATTTTTTAAAGTTTTCTATTAAAAAATTAAACGAATTCATTACAATGCCACACTATGTTGTGCCTCTACAAATTTCTTACCTAAGATACTTTTGCTAAATAAAATGTAGATTTAAAAAAATACTTTTGTTATTTTAAGAAGCCTTTTAAATGTCAATGTTATATATTGGTAAAACCAACTTAATCTGTATTTCACACACCCAAACCCCAAATACCACCTATGTAGATGATGAATGGAGATTTGGCATTTAAAGTGGGTGCACTGACATTTAAGACAAGTTTTATATGTTTAATCCACAATTTCTGATTGATTCATTTCAAAAAGTATTTTTAAAAAATAAGCAATTGGCAATGTAACAAGGATACAATCCAATGTGTTCACAGATTGGTTACCTGTGAGACTGGTGCTTTAACATGGGGTGGAATTCCAGAGGAAGAAACAGTACCACTAGGAGGCAGGTTTTTACTGGTCACTGAAGCCCAGGAGAAAGCCTGCAGGAAATGCAACAAACCTAGACTACTAATCATGGAAAACCACCAACATTCCTACAGGGAAACTTCCAAATATATATATTTTCGTTCATTTCTAAACTATTGCTCTATACTAGAAGACTCCTACAAGAGAGGCACACATACACATGCCAGTCTATGTGCCAGCTTTCAAAATCTCATTATGCAAGGTTTTAACTTTTGTCTGAACTACTAAATAAAAACCACAAGCAAGTTCCTACATACTCTAGGTAAATGAGCAAGTGGCTAACAAAACCACTAACAACTGCACATCTAGAGAAACCTGAACCTGACAGAACCAATTTTTTCACCTTTTCGGGAAAAGTAAGGTGTGTGATGGTGTTAAGGAGAAAGGGGAAGGATAGAAAAGAACAGAGAATAGTTGGAAACTTTAACAGACATTCACCAATTGACAAGGAATCTCTTTCTCTCACTACCCCAATATATTTTAACTGTCTAATTCACCAAGGTAAAATACACTATGGGTGTCACTCATCTTTACAAGATAGCTTATTTCATGTTTTAAGGAAACTGATCAGATTTAAATCACAAAATAGGTAATCTCTTAGATTCCATGATTCCTGGTACATCACAGGGGGTGAGCAACTCAACTGACAGCCTTATACACAGACTTGAGTGATGTAAGTTACTATGCATTGCATATACAAAGAATAATTTAATTTATAAATTTCACTCTTAAGGGTATTTATTTGGGGATAGGATAACAAAAACAATTCCAGTTGCTTTCATATAAATAAGTATAAAAAAGTACACTTTAATGTAAAGCAATTTAATATAGCAAATGTTTCATTAATGTCACCAAATACAGAAGTCTGAAAACTTCCTTTGATCTAACCTTTGGTGGTTCCTGTGGCAGAGAAACAGGTTCTGTTGAGGGAGGAGGAGTAGTCGACTTCTCCTCCAATTCTTCTAAGGTCTTCTCCTCCACTTGTGGTTTTAGCTCCTCAGTCTTTGTTTCAGTTTCTGGTTCTGGTTCAGGTTCATGAGAGGATTCTTCCAAAGGCTCCTCTATGCCATTACTACAATAAAGTATTTAGTCCCATTTTAAGTGTAAGTAAAATGATTGACTAAAACCAGATTAAAATGGGCACAGCCAGTTATGTGTCAATAATCTATGTTTGTTGTTTGTCGTGCTAAGAATAGAACTCAGGACCTGCTTGCTGTGCACATGTCTAGGCCAAGTGCTCTACCACCAAGCAACACCTGTATACAACCCCATATTAAAAATGGATTACAAAGAACACTAATTTTAATGCCGTGTTGGCCCCCAAATTCGGCATTATCAGTAGTAGTTATTTTGTTACAAATCATGTAAATTTAATTATGTAAAACAAAAATGTTCCAAAAAACTGATATCACAGGCAATTAAACACTAGATAATAGGTAGCTCTATCAAAATCTCCCTCTAAAAAAAAAATCTACCTCTAATGGCTGAAAGTTTAATGATACTCAATGCACATGAAGCCTTGGGTTCAATCCTCAGCAATCTATAAAAAAAACTAATCCTTTTTTGTTAGAAGCATGGCACAAGTGGTAGAACACCTGCCCAGTAAGCAGTAGGGCCTGAAATCAATCGTCAGTAATACTAGCTGTTTGAACAAAAACTGCTTTGCAACTACCATAGTTGAGTGCGAACGTAACCCTGCAAACACTATTCTTACGTCACAGGGTGAGCTTCATAGTAACCACTATTAGCACTTTCTTGCACAGGTTCAGGAGATGGTTGCCTTTCTTCTTGCTCTTCTTCTACTTCATCCTCTGATTCTGATAAACATAAAACATCACATCTTTCTTAAAGAAAATTTAAATAATTTGTCTTTTCCTTCAGTAATACTAGGTCCTGAACTCGGGGCCTTTCACTTGTTAAGTAGGCACTCTACTATTTGAACCAGTGACAACCCATAATTTCTAGTATACATATTTTCCATATATTTAAATGTTTTTGTTGTTGTTTTTACAGAGACATTCAACTGCAATATTCCCTGGTTTCTGAAATACCACAAGAGAACAAGCAGGACCAAGTTTTTACTATACTCTTATTAGTAAAATGAAAAGTTAGGAACGATAATCTAGTTTCCTTTGTCAAGTCTTTGTAACAGAGGTACAATGGTAAGGAGAAGGAAAACATACAAATAAATATCAATTAAAAAAAAAAAAATCAAGTAATTAGCCAGGCCCAGCAGCTCACAGGAGGCTGAGATCTGGGGATCACTGTTTAAAGCCAGCCAGGGCAGGAAAAGTCCATGAGACTCTTTAACCACCCAAAAGCTGGAAATGGAGCCAAGGCTTAAAGTGGTAGAGCACTGACCTTGACTGAGTATAAAAGCTCAGGGACAGTACCAGGTCCTGAGTTCAAGCCCAGTAGTACAGAAAAACAAATAAGTAACTGTAATTTACACGATAGTTATAAAATAGACAGCTATCCAAAGTACATTTATGGGGGAAAAGAAAAATTAAACTTTGTAGTAACTTAATTCTGTTGTGATAAAAGTGCCTTTTTTTAGGGGGGTGGGGCGGTCGTGGGGCTTGAACTCTATGCCTAGGCGCTGTCCTGAAGCTTCAGCTCAAGGCTAGCACTTTACCACTTGAGCAACAGTGCCACTTCTGGTATTTTCTGTTTATGTAGTGCTGAGGCATCAATCCCAGGGCCTCATGCATGCGAGACAAGCACTCTACCACTGAACCACCTTCCCAGCCCCATAAAAGTGCTTTTAAGTATAGGATCCAAAAATTTTCTACAACAGGCACCAATCTCTTTATCATAGAATGGGAAACAATTTTTCCTTCTCAGACTAATCTGTACCTAATTATATACATCTACATTTTCCTAACAAAGAACAAAGGGGAAGGGTCCTGACTCAGTTACAACAGAATTATTATAAAATTAAATTTCACCCTTTTACAGAACCCAAAAAGTACTTAAAGAGTTCTGACAAAATCCTGTTATCTCCAAAGTAATCTTACCTTCATCAAGTTCAGGTTCTGAATCACCAAACACTTCATCTTCATAACGAAACATATCATTGTGAACATAAAATTTATTTGGAACAGATCCCTGTAAAAGAACAGCATCAAAATATTCCATGAATACTCCTTACACTTGGTAATAAATAGAACAAATGACATCGCATAGACAATCTCAATTTTAATACCAGAGAAATAACCTTGACAATGTAATATTGCAAGGCTGAACATGCTATGAAGATCACTAACAGAATACTAGAATTCAAGAAACTCTTCTCAATAGGACAATTAGGAAAAATTAGATACTTTTCAATTCTTTTTTCAATGTGACCTTTTAAATATGACAATAAGATTTACATGCGTATATTAGACTTTTAATCCCAAAGACTTACTCTCAACCTCTCCCTTTCTCCCCAAACAAATGCATCAAAAGGCCCTGTAAAATTTCTCAAAAGTAATAAAAGCAAATCTATACCTATTAGGGAAAACTCCTGGAGAGTTCAATCAACTAGTAATAGACAAATTGAAAACTTACTTCAGGAGCCAGAACAAAGGTTTGCATAAACTTTCTCTCTGGCTGCCCACTATTAGACAGCAAACCCATGACCTGGACAACCACTCCATCACTCAAGGTTGCATGAGCATCCACATGACGAATTTTGGTATGACATTCACTGAAGTTCAGAGATAACACTTTGTGGTGTATATCCTGTAATGGGGGAAAAAAAGGAAATAGAAATTTTTGTCATATTGTATTACCTTTACAAAGTAACATTTATCCTCCTTGATATCCTAACCCTAAAATGTTAATTAATCATTGAAACCTTTCTACTTCATCTGAATGTCATACCAGTCATGCCAGACTGCTGATCCTAAGTTACTATTTTAAGCATGTCACTTTCTTATAAAAAAAAAAATTTGAGGTGTCTCTCCCCCTCCTTTTGAGAGCACCCATACACTACTAGAGCATCCCCCTGCCTTTCTGCTTGTCTATTTGCTTCCTTACTCAATAAAGCTCAGTCAAATTTTCTTACAAAAATTAAAATAAATAAATCGAAATGGCTCTCTGATATTGTGCAGTAATCTAGGCTTCATAGTTTTCCCATTTTTTTTACTCATTTCTGTAATGATTATTAATTTTCTTTACTGTGATATTTGCTAATGCCATTTTTCAAATTCTAATTTTAAGTTTGGAAGGAAGGCTAAATCTCTAAAAAACAAAGTCTTGCATCCCTAATGTCACAAAGAGAACTTACTTCTATGCATTCCTGTGTAGTCCACATTTATAAAAACTATCTTCTCAATTGTTTTACGTATAAAACATATCAAAGACCAGGCACCAGTGGCTCATGCCTGTAATCCTAGCTACTCAGGAGGCTGAGATCTGAGGATTCAAAGCCAGTTCAGAGCCAGCCCGGGCAGAAAAGTCCATGAGACTATTACCTCCAATAAACCACCAGAAAACTGCAAGTGGCACTGCGGCTCAAGTGGTAGCCTTGAGTTGAAAAGCACAGGGACAGTACCCAGAACCAGAGTTTAAGCCTCATGACTGGCACAAAGAAAAAAAAAAGGTATGTCTGAACACTCAGCCTCAACACAAGAAGACATATACACACATGTATATATGTATATATAAATATGAACTGACTTACATTTTGGCCATAAACAGCTTCCTGGGGTTTTCCACTAGCATCTACACCACCATGAACATAGGAAGAATTCCTGCCATAAAATCTGTAATGCAAAACCATTGATTAAATGTTACCTCTAAATTTTCAAATTTAAAAAATAGCAGCAAGCCGAGCACTGGTGGCTCATGCCTGTGTTCCTATCTACTCAGTAGAGGCTGTGATCTGACAATCCCAGTTCAAAGTTTGCCTTGGCAGAAGTCCATTAAGACTCTTATCTCCAATTAACCACCAGAAAACCAGAAGTAGTGCTGTAGCTCAAAGTGGTAGTGGTAGTGTTCTAGCCTTGAGTGAAAAAGCTCAGGGACAGCACTCAGGCCCTGAGTTCAAGCCCCACAGCGGACCCAAAAAAACAAAAACCAAAAAAAAAAAAAAAAAAAAAAAAACAAACCAGCAAATTTCTGGTGTTAGACACATTATATTCTAAGCACATAGGTCCAGCACTGTAACTAAGTAGATGTGTAAAGTTACTTAACTTTTAGTTCAGTTTGCTTGGTTACAAAATAGTTACCACTCATAAGGATGTCATAAGGATTAAATGAGGCAGACATACAGAAATCCTAGTGCAGGGGCTAGGACTATGACTTAGTGGAAGTGTGCTTGCCTAGCACACTGGGTTCAATTCCTCAGTACCACACAAACAGAAAAAAAACAGAAGTAGCACTATATATAGCTCAAGTGGAAGAGTGCTAGCTTTGAGCACAGAGAGGCTCAGGAACAAAGCCCAGGTGCTAGTTCAAGTCCAGGACAGGAAAAAGAGGGAGGTGGGGGGGAACTAATCCTAGTGCAACAAGCACACTAAGTAGATAGTCAATCATCAGCTTTTATCAATGAAATTTTTTAAACAAATTTCACTCTTGTCAAAAGGATTTAACAAAGTAGCACTTCAAATAAGTCTTATAACACTGATTTAAAATAAAAAAGAATTCTAAACAGATATTCTCTAATAGTGGATCCATCTTTTACTTCTAATAAGCAAAACAATTAACAACAAAAACTTGGCTGATTTTTTTTTTTTTTTTTTTTTTGGTGCCTGTACTTGGGCTTGAACTCAGGAACGCAAAGCTCCTGCTCTGTTATTTTGCTCATGGTGATTTCTCGAACACTCTAGTTATACCTACAGTTTGCCAATTTATGCCAGTTAAAGGTAAGAATCTCATGATTTCATCTTCCCGGGGTGTCTATGAATCTTGATCCTCAGATCTCAGTCTCTTGTTAGCTAAGATTATAGGCATGACCACTCACTGGTGCTCAGCTCTAAAAGAGTTGATAATTCAAAGACTAAGTTGTAAGTATACAATTATTTCAGCATCTAATTTCTTATTAGTATTTTCATGCTGCTCTACTTTGAAGTACATGATTAGACTTTCTCTGGCATTACCTAAAGCAATTAAAATTAACATCTTTCTAAATTAAGATTATGAAAAACACAAAAATACTATTTTCATTAAGAGATTTCATATTTATCACAAAAAGACATAAGAGCTTCCTTTGTGCCAAGCAATATTTTCAATACATAACATATATTGATTCTTTTAATTCTCCAAACAAACCTAAGTGCTATTATGTAAATAAGCAGACAGGTTCAAAACCACTTAAAATTATCATATACTTACAATAAACAGCCATATACTTATCAAGGGGTGAAGCCAAGAACCCAGACAGTATGGATCCACAGACCATGTCTTTTAACTACTACCCCATACGTTATGTATTATTGGCAAATATGTAAACTGGCATTATTTTTGAGAGCTTGTTTGGAGGTTCTAGCAGGGGAGCACAGCTACTCGTATACCCTTGACCCAAGACTGGTCCTCCTCTATCGGGGATGGTCGTCCTCTTCGACCGAGCCTGCAGCTTCGGGAGGGACACACATGGAGCGGTGAGGGAGGAAGGGGACACCCGCCTAGCCAGCCAGATCAGCCGAATCAACCCTAGCAATCAATGGGGTGACAGATGTCGCAGCCAGATCGCCCTCACATCCACTGGCATTATTTTTGTAAAGGGATTTTGGCTATGTGTATTTGTGTGTGTGTGTGTGCTGAACATAAGACATGATCATACCTTTGATGTAACACTCACTTCTTCCAGGAACCTATTCTTAAGAATATAACTAACCAGTACAGTACATAAAAATGTATTTATAATAAAACATTTCTGGGGGCTGGGAAGGTGGCTCAGTGGTAGAGTACTTGCCTTGCATGCATAAGGCCCTGGGTTCAATTCCTCAGTATCACATAAGCAAAAAGAAAAAAGCCGGAAGTGGCGCTGTGGCTCAAGTGGTAGAGCGCTAGCCTTGAGCTGAAGAGCTGAGGGAGTGCCCAGGCCCAGAGTTCAAGCCCCACGACTGGACCCCCCCCCCCCAAAAAAAAATAAATAAAATAAAACATTTCTTAACAAACCTCTTAAATATGTATTTAAAGTGGCTAAGTAAATATGGGTTATGGGTATAAGCTAAAAACAGGTAGATCACATCTGTAATCCTAATTACTTAGAAAGCTGAGATCTGAGAATTATGGTTCCAAGCCAGCCTGAACAGTTCAATCCGATTATTCACCAAAAGGCCAAAATTGGAGCTGTAGCTCAAGTGGGAGAGCACTAGCCTTGATCAAAAAAGCTCAAAGCTGGGCGTCGGTGGCTCTGTAATCCTAACTACTCAGAAGGCTGAGATCTGAGACTGACAGTTCAAAGCCAGCCTGGACAGGAAAGTCCATAAGACTCTTAACTCTAATTAACCACCAGAAAACCAGAAGTGGCACTGTGGCTTGAGAGGTAGAGCACTAGCCTTGAGCTGAAGAGCTCAGGAACAGTGCCTAGGCCCAGAGTTCAAAGTCCCATGACCAACAAAAAAATTAAATAAAAAACCCAAGGAGGCTGAGAATGTAGCTTAGTGGCAGAATGCTTGCCTACCTACCATTCTCACAAAGCTCTGAGTTCAATTCCTCAGCAAGAGGAAATGGCACTGTGGCTCAAGTGGTAGAATGCTAAGCCTTGAGCAAAAAAGAAGCTATGGGACAGTGCCCAAGCCCGAGCTTGGGTGATAGAGCACTCATCTTTTTTTGTTTTCTTCTTCTTCTTTTGGGTCCGGTCGTGGGGTCTGAACTCTGGGCCTGGGCGCTGTCCCTCAGCTCTTCAGCTCAAGGCTAGCGCTCTACCACTTGAGCCACAGCGCCACTTCCGGCTTTTTTCTTTTTGCTTATGTGGTGCTGAGGAATCGAACCCAGGGCCTCAGGCATGCAAGGCAAGTACTCTGATCTACCTTCCCAGCCCTAGAGCACTCATCTTGAGCTGAAGAGCTAAGGGATAGCCCCAGGCCCAGAGTTCAAGCCCCACAACCAAGAAAAAGAAAGCAAGAAAAGGAGTCCTGCATATAGTAAATATAAAAAAAAAAAAAATGCCAGGGGCTGGGAAGATGGCTCAGTGGTAGAGCGCTTGCCTTGCCTTGCCTTGCATGCCTGAGGCCCTGGGTTCGATTCCTCAGCACCACATAAGCAAAAAGAAAAAAGCCAGAAGTGGCGCTGTGGCTCAAGTGGTAGAGCGCTAGCCTTGAGCTGAAGAGCTGAGGGACAGCACCCAGGCCCAGAGTTCAGGCCTCATGACCGGACCCAAAAAAAAATAATAATAATAATGCCAGCTAGGTACCAGTGGCTCATACCTGTAATTCTAGCTATTCAGGAGGATCCCAATTCAAAATCAGCCCAGGGAGGAAATTAACCACCATCAAGAAAGGGGGGTGAGGAAGGAGGGGAAGAGGGAGGGAGGGAGGGAGGGAGGGAGGGAGGGAGGGAGGGAGGGAGAGCCCCTGCACGCACACACGCCACTGAGCCATGGTCAAGTGGTAGTATTAGCCTTAAGCAGAAAAGGCTAAGGGACAGCATCCAGACTCTTGAGTTCAAGCCCTAATACCAGGGCAGGGGGAAGAGCCTATCAAGTTATAAGGAGTGAGGTATTCCTCACTCACTAGTAAATAAAAGTAAATGCTAAATAATCTGTTTTAAATTTACCTGTGTAAATATTCTGGAGCTTTATTCAGCAAAGTGTAATATTGCCTCACAAACTCTCGCCCTACAAGCAGCGGACTGGGCTTCTCCATAACCATTTCTTTGCTGCACAATGTTGAATGCTGAAAGAGCAAACAAAAAAATAAACTGTTAGAAGGTTACAGTTGTCACTACCATGAAGTAAATTCTTAGGCAAAGAATAGAAAAAGAAAATTTATAGCACTTATTAAAGTTATTTATAGGGCTGGGAAGATGGCTCAGTGGTAGAGCGCTTGCCTTGCATGCCTGAGGCCCTGGGTTCGATTCCTCAGCACCACATAAGCAAAAAGAAAAAAGCTGGAAGTGGCACTGTGGCTCAAGTGGTAGAGCACTGGCCTTGAGCTGAAGAGCTGAGGGACAGCACCCAGGCCCAGAGTTCATGCCCCACGACCGGACCCAAAAAAAAAAAAAGTTATTTATAACACCATCAATGTTTACATCTCTTTGTCTTAGCTTAATATCCATACCCTGAATTCATTATAGGGGGAAGTATGTCCTTATTCTTGAGAAAAATTAGCACAAATTAAAACACATTTTATTTATGCATATAAACTCCTGAACATTTTAAAATTATAACATTAGAAATTGGGGAGAAGCAAAGAAAATAATGTAAATTTTTATTTGTAAAAACAGGATAAATTACCAATGCAGGGATTTATTGCTGTTGTTCAAGGCTAGAGGATACCAAGGCTGGAGTTACTGGCTACATCCAGTTTCAGTATTTTGCTAGTTCACTGGAGATGGAATCTCCAAGGCTTATATGCCTAACTTCAATCTTCTTGCATAGCTAGAATTCAGGGTTAAGCCAAGTGGAGGACTGAAATTTGGTTTAAGGGCAGTAGCTCATGCCTATAATACTAGCTACTCAGACGGTTGAGATCTAAGGATTGACGTATCAACTCAGCCTGGGGCAGGAAAGTTCATGAGACTCACATCCAGTTAGCCACCAAAAAAGCTGGAAGTAAAGCAGTGAACCAAGTGGCAGAGCACCAACTTGAAAGAGAAAAACTAAGGAACAGTACCCAGGCCCTGAAGATCAAGGCCTAGGACCAAAAAAAAAAAAATCAGGGCTGGGAAGGTGGCTCAGTGATTGCCTTGCACACATGAGGCCCTGGGTTCGATTCCTCAGCACCACATAAGCAGAAAAGGCCAGAAGTGGAGCTGTGGCTCCAGTGGTATAGAGTGCTAGCCTTGAGCTAAAGACCTGAGGGACAGAGCCCACGCCCACAATCGACAAAAAAATAAATAAATCAGGCTGTAGTTCATTCAGTAGTACAGCAAGGATTCCACATGGCCCACCAAATAAATCATCAGGCAACCTTCTTCCTTACTACACTTAAAGGGAATGAAAAATGATCATAATATCTAAAGTGTGTTTCTACAAAACAGATCAGAATGCAGCTTAAAAACAAATCTTAGGGGGCTGGGAATGTGGCTTAGTGGTAGAATACTTGCCTAGCATGCATGTAGCCTGAGCTCAATTCCTCAATACCACATAAACCAAAAAAAGCTGGAAGTGGTGCTCTGGCTCAAGTGGTAAGAACGCCAGCCTTGAGCTGAAGAACTCAGGGACAGCACCCAGGCCCAAAGTTCAAGCCCCACAACCGACAAAAAAATAAATAAATCTTACTTCAAGACATGGACACAAGGTTTTTCTTTGTTGTTGTTGTTGTTGTTCTCAATGTACTACGTGATTTCTTTTTGTGTGTGTTTTCCCCATTTATCCCATTGTCACTGTGTTCAATTTTGATACCCTGGGTATGGCATATACATTTATCTGAACGAGAGGAGGGAAGGGAAACAAGAAAATGGTGAGACAAAGGGGGAACCTGTGCGACACAATACTCACAAAGCAAGTTCAAGGCTTGGGTACCATTCCCAGCACCACAAAAGTAAAAATAAAATCAAGAAGAGCAAGGCTAAGCGACTACTTATAGTTTGATTGCCAGTAAGACAGGGTTATACAGCAAAGTTTTTAAGTAAAATGTGAAAATCACACTTTAACAGTAACTGTTGAAACATATTAAATTGGTACCTGCCTAGCATGGCAATGTGGTGCCCAGCACCACAAAAATAATATTGGGGCTGGGAAGGTGGCTCAGTGGTAGAGCGCTTGCCTTGCATGCGTGAGGTCCTGGGTTCGATTCCTTAGCACCACATAAGCAGGAAAAAAAAAGCTGGAAGTGACGCTGTGGCTCAAGTGGTAGAGCGCTAGCCTTGAGCTGAAGAGCTGAGGGACAGCACCCAGGCCCAGAGTTCAGGCCCCACGACCAGACCCCCCCCCAAAAAAAAAATAATAATAATACCGCCAGGCACATGTGGCTGGCTCATGCATGTAATTCTAGTTACTCAGGAAGCTGAGATGTAAAGATCACAGTTCAAAGCTAGCCCTGGCAGAAATCCATTGACTTTTTTCCCCCAATTAACCATCAAAAAGCTGCAAGTTGAACTGGGGCTCAAGTGGAAGAATGCTAACTTTGAGCACTTGCCTGTATCTGAGCACAAAACCTGAGGGACAGGCAGTACTCAGGCATTGAGTTCAAACCCCAAGGCAACATAAATATTACTGACTAAATTACCCTAAAAATAAGCCCAAGTACCACAAAACACAAAATCTAATTAATTACAAAAAGAATTCTGCCACTTTTACCCTCCCCAGCTAAGCTGGGTAATAGTAAACAACATGGATTTTGGACTTTTTTAAATGGTTAGGTAATTCAGAATTATGAAAGGGAAGTTTTACTATTTACACATGGACCATGTAAGTCTCAAACCTGCAAATTTTAATTTCCTAATGCACTGAGAAAAGACTTGGCCTATAAAGAGACCAAGTCTGTAAGAGTATATAGTTCTAGTAAGACTATACACTCTTTCAGGGCTGCTGCTTTATGCCTGTAATCCTTTATGCCTGTAATCAGGAGGCTGAGATATGAGGAATCCAGTTTCAAGGCATCCACTGCATACAAATTTGAAAGAACCTGCTTCCAATTAACCAGGAAAGAAAAAAAGCAAAAATGGGGTATGGCTCAAGTTTCAGAATACTAGCTTCGAGGGAAAAAAATCTGACATCTGAAAACATACTAAAAAAAAATACCTGCAAGCCGGGCACTGGTGGCTCACGCCTGTAATCCTAGCTACTCAGGAGGCTGAGATCTGAGGATTGTGGTTGGTTCAATGCTTGCCCGGGCAGTAAAGTCCATGAGACTCTTATCTCCAATAAACCACCCGAAAACAGGAAGTGGTGCTGTGGTTCAAGCGGTAGAGCGCTCGCCTTGAGCTGAAGAGCGCAGGGACTGCGCCCAAGCCCAGAGTTCAAGCCCTACGACTGACCCCCCCCCCCAAAAAAAAGAAAGATACCTAAGCACAATCAAATCTACAGGAGGTGGCTCTAGCACTTTGAAAGAGCAATTATCACCTATCTGTATCTTATACTCTTTTTTTTTTTTTTTTTGTGGTCGTGGGGCTTGAACTCTGGGCCTGGACGCTGTCCCTCAGCTCTTCAGCTCAAGGCCAGTGCTCTACCACTTGAGCTACAGCACCATTTCTGGTTTTCTGGTGGTTTATTGGAGATAAGAGTCTCTCCTGCCTGGGCTGGCTTTGAACCGCGATCCTCAGATCTCAGCCTCCTGAGTAGCTAGGATTACAACAAGCGTGAGCCACCAGCGCTGGGCTCGTCTTTTTTTTTTTTTTTTTTTTTTTTTGGGGGGGGGGGGGAACAATCATGGAGTTTAAACTCAGGGCCTGGGCACTGTCCCTCAGCTTCTACTCTACCACTTGAGCCAACAGGGCCACTTCTGGCTTCATGTATGCTAGGCAAGCACTCTACTACTAAGCCACATTTCCAGCCCTACACCTCACTTCTGATCCAATCAAGTTCATGCCTATAATCCCAGCTACCTACCCAGAAAGCAGAAATCAGGAAAACTGATTCAAGGCCAAAGGGCAATACACTAATGAGACCCTTATCTCAATCAATAAGCTGGACATGGTGCTATTGCCTAGAAAAGTCACAGCTTGGCCAAAAGAAGAAAGCAACCAGGGCCAGGGACTGAAAGTTGTAGAGCACCACCTAGTAAACATTAGGCCCTAAATTCAAACCTCAGTACAGAGGAGACTGGAAAGGAGGAAAGGATAAACACTTCTTCCAATGACATTTGAAAATGTGAAAACCGTCTTTATGTAGGAATGTACATCGTACAATGTAAACTCTGGCACATTAGCTCTACACACAAGCGATGTGTGCTTTTTCACAAAGCAATCTTTACTAGCCAATTAAACACAATAAATATCCACCCAGATTCCAATGTATTATCGCTACTTACAGAGCCAATTACCTTTAGAAATAACTCATTCTATTTACCAACCTCGCTATCCCTCCTAAAATTCCTGTGAATTTAACAAAAACCTTTTGCAATTTGCTGTTTCCTTAAAATGTTTTCTTTCAGGGCTGGGGGTTGTGGCTCAATAAATTGAACTTCAAACTCTAATACTACCAAAACAGTTTCCTCTTCAGTTGCATAAACCTAATTCCTGAAGCACTTCTACTGTCATAGGAAATTGCTCTAAGTTAATTGTCATTTTTTCTAAGTCTCTTAGTACACACTGAGGATAGTAGTAAAGAAAGAAATAAGACACAAATAGTCACACTAGTCTTCCTACTCTATAAAATATACTGTTTCTTCTAAGATGAATGTCACCTTTACAGTTCAAGATAGCATAGCCAATCACTTGAGATTCTTTCTCAACCAACAGCTAGGTGTGGTGGTGTGTGCCTATCTACATATCTACGTGGGAGGATGAGATGGAGAACAACAAGTTCTCCAATTCAAATGATCAAATTTCCTCCCATGAATAAAACTTCAGCTTTGGGGGGGGAAAGGGGAATGGACTTCTGATTTTTGTTACTGTTTACTTAAGAGTAAGGGGCTGGGAAGGTGGCTCAGTGGTACAGCGCTTGCCTTGCATGCCTGAGACCCCCTGGGTTCGATTCCTCAGCACCACATAAGCAAAAAGAAAAAACCGGGAAGTGGTGCTGTGGCTCAAGTGGTAGAGCGCTAGCCTTGAGCAGAAGAGCTGAGGGACA